GGCTCAAGCAATCCTCCTGCCTCAGACTCTCCAGCAGCTAGAACTACAGGCACAACAGCAGCATGCTTGTGTGTGCTTCCATGATTGTCCTGTTGCCCACAGACTAACTGTGACACAATGGGAACTGGGTTTCCCTGAGTCACAAATGTGAGGAAACCGGAAGCAAGGGTCACTATGGGTCATCGTGAAGAAAGCCTGCAATCATGATACCTGTCTTAAGGGCTCCATAGGGAACATTTTCCCCCCCACCTCACCATTCAAGCCTGTTCTGAACCATAACTCAGGAGATCATTTCTTCCACTTAGACATATTCTGCACTCTTCACTGATTTCAGTCAATCTCTGTGACGTGACTACAGCCTGCCCCATTTCTATTCTGGTGCTCACAGCCTGGTCATGCTTCTTTTTTCTCTTTGATAGTTTTGCTCCACAGTCTCCTCACCTCGTGTCTGACCTGCTGCCAGTCTATCCTCTACATTGTTGCCAGAACAATTCTTCCAGAACTTAGGTGAAGAATCTTCAAGCCAAAAATTAAAACCCTTGACAAATACAAAGTCACTGGCGCTCCAGCCCGTTAGCTGTTGATCTTTTTTCTTTTTTGTTTGTTTGTTTCTTTCTTTCGAGACAGGGTTTCTCTGTTTAGCCCTGGCTGTCCTGGAACGCTCTCTGTAGCCCAGGCTGGCCTCAAACTCAGGCGTCCGGTTGCCTCAGGCTTCTGAGTGCTGGGATTAAAGGCGTGCGCCACCACTGCCTAGTGATTTGGCTCCCTCTTTTTTTTTTTTTTTTCTTCCGAGACAGGGTTTCTCTGTGGCTTTGAAGGCTGTCCTGGAACTCCCTTGGTAGTCCAGGCTGGTCTCAAACACACAGAGATCCACCTGCCTCTGCCTCCCAAGTGCTGGGATTAAAGGCGTGCGCCACCAACGCCCGGCGGCTCCCTCTTTCTAGCCTGTCTTCCTCTACTTACTCCAGGCAGGCCAGCTTGGGTTCACTCCTCAGAGTTCCACAGCTGAGAGCAGGAGGTGTATCTCATTGCTTCAGCACCTCAGAGCCGGGCGTGGCACCCACCACAGGGGTATTTCTCTACCAGTGTTTAGTAAGTGAAGGAATCAGACAAGCTACTCTGGACGCCTGGTACCCTGTGGTCACTAACCCTTGGATAAGCTTTTCCAACCGTAACGTGTCTCTTTGTGCCAATGACAGCCGGAAAAGCAAATGCTGAGCTGTTTAGGCCACTTCATCCCTTTTGCCCCGTGACCTTGGGGATGTCATGTATTACCTTGGCACCCTCATTCCTCGTCTGAAATGAGGAAAGATTAAGATGGATTAATTAAATCAGTATTTATTGAAGCAGATACTGTCCTAAGCACTCTTTTTTTTGTTTGTTTTTTTTTGTTTGTTCGGTTTTTTTTTTTCGAGACAGGATTTCTCTGTGGCTTTGGAGCCTGTCCTGGAACTAGCTCTTGTAGACCAGGCTGGTCTGGAACTCACAGAAATCCACCTGCCTCTGCCTCCCGAGTGTGTCCTAGGCACTCTTAAATAAATCAGTTGGAGTGACAGACACCATATTCCCAGGAGAATACGTTTCTATTGAGGTGGAAACTACAGCAGCTGGAGAGATGGCTCAGCAGTTTAGAGCACTTGTTACTCCTACAGACGCCCCGGGCTCAGTTCCTAGCTCTCACAAAGCAGCTCACAGCCATCATAAGCCCAGGTCCCAGGGATCCGATGCCCTCTTCTCATCTCAGAGGGCTCCAGGCTGAGGAGTGGTACACAGATATACAAGTGGGCAAAACATAGCCCATAAAATATTAAATAAACCCACTTGAAGTGGAACTACAACTTGAAGCAACGACTTGGCCAAGCTGGAAGGTTTGGGGTAAATGGTTATGTTGACTTTAAAAAAAAGAAAAAGAAAAGTAAAAGTATCTAAGCCTGCATGAACATTTCCCAGATTTCCCAGCCTTAGATCACGGAAGAATGTCCTCAAACCTTGCAACAAACCAGCATTTGGTGAGTACCACTTCTGACCTGCAGGTGTCCACTGCTCGCCCGGATTATAACTGCTCTCCACACTCTTTCTGCATCTTTGCCCATTGTCTTTTTCTTTTTCCCCTGAGACAGGGTTTCTCTATGTAGCCTTGGCTGTCCTGGAACTTGCTCTGTACACCAGACTGGCCTTGAACTCAGAGATCTGCCTACCTCTGCTTCCCAAGTGCTGAGGTTAAAGGCGTGTGCCACAACCACCCAGTGCCCTAAATCATTTTTATGTTTGTCATACCTTGCTAGACCTGAATTCAGAAATGAGCCTTCCCATTTTTTGTTTGTTTTGTTTTATTTTCTTTGTTTGTTTTGGGTTTTTCAAGACAGGGTTTCTTTGTGTAACAGCTCGGGTTGTCCTGAAACTCACTTTACAGACCAAGCTGGCCTTGAACTCAACAGAGATCCACCTGCCTCTGCCTCCTAAGTGCTGAGGATTAGAGGTGTGCACTCGGCTGGAGTCTTCCCATTTTCAAGTCGAAAAAAGAAATGAGGTTCAAAATGGCTCACCTTGTTATAAGGAATCTCTCATCGCCAAGAGGCCAACGGTCACCATCAGCATCTGGCATGCCCCTGGAGACAGGCAGACATGTTTTCCTAACTGGGAGGTGGAGAAGAGACCTACTTGAAGCAGGACTGTGGACATGTCAGGAAGACTTGGGTTCTGCTCCTGATTCTTCCGGCTGCAGAGCTACCCAAGCTGAAGAAGGGGGAAAGGGACTCTAGTCCAGGAAGAGGTTTAAGAGCTGACTGAGCAGCAGAAGGAAATGAGGAGCTACCCAAGGGCAAGAACCTATCTTACTTTTATGTCTCTCCTGTCTCGTTTATCCCAGGGTCATACCTGGTACTCAACAACTGCCTGTTGGTTTGAGGAGGGCATTTGGAAGGAGGGAGGAGTAGGAACTTCAAGGAGTTTAGAATCGAGGAGAGGACAACAGAGAAGACAGAGTTCAGGAGAGAGACTCCAGACATGTGACCCTGGTTCCCTTACTTGGCCGTTAGGAGATCCTCCAGAGGAGCGGGGTGCTGTGTCTTTAAATGATTTCCGCACTGTCAGTGAAGCTGCTGTTCTGAAAGAGTTATCCTCTTGCTCCTGTGCTGGGCCTCCCCCTCCTCTCAGCTCCCCAAACCCTTCTCAGCCACTGTGATGGGATAATTAGATGCGAGAGCTCAGCACAGATGATGCTCCAGTTGCCTAGCAACTAATGGTTTCCATGGAGACCGCAAAGCACAGCCTCCAGAGCAGCCAGTGAGCAGCTCGGCAGGGCAGGGAGAAGACACAACTCTGCTCCTCCAGAAACCTGGGGAGGGTTAGGGTGGGGAAGGTGAGAGGGGGAGATTGCAGAGAGATGGGAGGGCTTAAAGGCACAGGACCCTCATATTCCTTTAAAATGTGGCCAGAGATATGCCCTTTCTTATCTCACTTTGTCTCACTCCTAATTTCAAATGGGGCTGAAGAACGGACCAATACAATCTGCTCTGCCTTAAACCCATCCTCTCCCTGATTCCTCCTTAGCTGGAACGGGAGGAGATAGCTTCCAAGCCCAAATGTAAACACCCTGCTATGTTGAGGCTTTGAGACATGCCAGGAAGATCTCCTGACCCTGACGTCCCACCCTTCCCTCTTCCCCACCTCAGGTTCTCCTTTGTGTGTGACTCTTCTTTCGGTGTGTAGAGGGAGGATAAGATCTCATCTAAAGGGGACAAAAGCCAAGGAGCAGGAAACACAGAAATCAGTTCTCCACCCAAAGGCAGTCTGTCCTGGCAGCATGAGAAAAACCTCTGTCCTGCTTCCCATTAGAGGGTGTGTGTGTGTGTGTGTGTGTGTGTGTGTGTGTGTGTGTGCACGAGTGGGCGCCTTAGAAATGCAGTTTTAGGAAACAGCTCAACAGGTAAAGGCTCTTGCCGCCAAGCCCGATGATTGGAGTTTTGATACCCGGAAGCCACATTGTGAAAGGAGAGAACCAACTCCCACAGGCTTTCCCCTGACCCCCACACATACACAAGATAATAAATGTAATTTAAAAATAAAGACGTGTAGTCTCAAGATTTACCCCAGACCCTCTGAGTCAGAAGCTTGCTTAAACCAACGCCACGATAGCCCATTGCACAATAACTTTGGAGACACCCTGGTACAAGCCCCGCTGCTCTCTGCCTGAGCCCCCTCACATCGCAGGCTTTAAGCCCACCCACCATAGGGGAAGACATAACCCTCAGCCCTTCCCTAGTCCCTACTCCTCTACCAGGACCCTGGCCCTTTCTCTGGGACTGGGGAGAGTAGGTGATTCCTGGAGCAAACACTGAGGGTACGGAGCTCAGGCCCTGTAGAGTGCCCTAATCTGAAAAGCCCCGTCTATGAAACACAGTGCCACTCAAGATGCCCGTTGGTCAAGAGAGTGATGGCATTCAGAGCCCTCACTGCTCAGAGTTCAGAGTAGGGGTCTCTAAACGCACATCACTCTCCTCTCTGATTGGAAAGCTTCCTTTACTTATCTCATTTAGTCTGGGGTGAGGGACACGAGGAAATAGTGTTTGTCCTGTGCTTCCTGGGACTGAAGCCCAGAGGCTCATGTGCTACCATTGTGCTACGTGCCCAGCCCGTCCTAGTCTCTTTGTGGTCACTGGCTTGTCTTGAGGGCTTCTGTTCTTTATTCTGACTGGTTTGTTTTTTTGTTTGTTTTTCAAGACAGGGTTTCTCTGTGTAGCCCTGGCTGTTCTGAAACTGGCTCTGCAGACCAGGCTGGCCTCAGACGCAGAGATCCACCTGCCTCTGCCTCCTGAGTGCTAGGATTAAAGGTGTGTGCCACTGATGTCCCACTTGACTTGTTTTGAAACAATCTCACTGTGTAGCCCAGGCTGGCCTGGAACTCAGGATCCTCCTGTCTCTTGTTTTCTAAGGTTTTTCTTCTTTATTCTCCACCAACTGAACAAATGCTTGCTACCTGAGTCTGTGGGTGTCTACTCCCCAACCCACCATCCTTGCTGGACTGACCCAGCATCCACCTCTCTGGAAGCCTCCTCTGGCCTCCCTTGTCCCCCCACCCTCTGCAGAAATCTGAAGGCTCACATTGACACCCTCAACTTCTCCCAGAGCCACAGAGTCTTGGGCCTCAGTGAACACCAAGGATTGGAGCTCTGACTCTGCTTTCCCCACCCTATTCCACCAATCTCCTTCTCTCGAATTCTTGCTAACCCTTGGGGTTCTCCCTGAAGACCAACTTCAGAACTCATAGTCCTCCTAGGAAGACTCCTACCTCCGTGGGGAGAAGCAGCCTCTACCATTGGGGCTGCAGACACACAAAGAGAAATCCCCTGCTTCACATGGCTGTTCTCGAAGGAGGAGCCACCCTCCCCTGCATAGAGCTAAGCAGCCAGGACCCAGCCAGGGCATCCCCCTTTGGTCTTGAGCTCCCCATCCTGAAAAACCTGTCTGGGGGCCCTCCCTGAGGCCACAGTGTCCAAGGGGCAAGTTGGACTGGATTCCCACAGCCCCTCCCACCCCAAGACAAAATCAGCCACCCTGGGGCAGGGCCTTATTGGTCTCAGGAAGCCCCAGTCTGTTCCAGGATCCAGTTCCCAGCACAGTATGACATCCACACTGCCTGTCCAGACCTTACCCTTGTTCCTGATTCTGCTGGCTGTCCTGGCTCCGGGGACTGCAGGTCTGTATTTCTGGTGGGAGTGAGGAGGGTTTTGGAACTCTAGACAGACAACGTTGTCTCTTCCAGACTCTCAAAGAAGGTGTTGGTCTAGCTGGCTGGGGTTGAGGGCTAGTGATGGTAGTGACCTGGTGACAAATTCCTAGGCTAGAAGTGTGGGAAGGTTTGTGGGGGTGGCGAGAGGTGAGGTTGGGAACTGACTGGCTGGTACAGTCTAGTTTGTCTCCCAGGCGGCTCAGAGTAGCCACCATCTACAGCTCAAGCCTGCCATCTGGTGGCCAGTTCTGACTCTGCGCCCTTTGCCATGATCCCCGGTCAGATCTGAGTTGAAAACCGGGCTAACTTCATCCTGCCTTCCCTCCTGACTTTCTAACAGATTTCAACATCTCAAGCCTCTCTGGTGTGTTGTCTCCGGCGCTAACAGAAAGCCTGCTGGTTGCCTTGCCCCCGTGTCACCTCACTGGAGGCAACGCTACACTGATGGTCCGGAGAGCCAACGACAGCAAAGGTGGGCTCCCCCGTGCCTACTCACGCTTCCATGCTAGCCCCTCTTTCGATACCCAGGAGCCTCCCGTTCTCCGTGGGACTGCTAGAAATGTGACCTTGCCTTCATTCCTGTTTCCCATCAGTGGTTAAATCAGTCTTCATGGTGCCTCCGTGCCGTGGACGCAGGGAGCTAGTGAGTGTGGTGGACAGTGGGGCTGGCTTCACCGTCACCAGGCTCAGCGCCTATCAGGTGACAAACCTAACACCAGGAACTAAATACTAGTAGGTACCGGATGGACACATGTGGGAGTGGGATACAGAAAGAGAAGTTGGGGTGCTGGTAAGCATGGAGAAGAGGGCACCATTAAAGGGTGTGAATAGTAAGCCTCTGCCCCAGGAGGGCACAGATGGGGCATAGCTATACAGGTGGGGGTTGGAACCCCTCCTCCCAAGTGCCAGGTACGTACTGGAGATCCCTGCTTTCTCCCAACTCCCACCTCTAAAGCATTTCCTACCGAGTGCAGAAGGGGACATTCACGGAGTCCAGTCCAGAGACCCCAATGTCCACGCTTCCTCGTAAGTAAAATGCCTGCCTCTCTCAAACCTCAAGTGTCCACACACCTACTTGAGCTCCGGGTTTTATCCCCTAGAACAAGTTAACTAAATTGTTTTCAGAGGGCTTTCTCTCCCCGGCTGAAAGTTTGCTGTGGCCGCTGCCTGCGCACTCTCTGCTGAAAGCTCCTTGTGTGGAGGGATGGTGCTTTAGTAAATCTCCTGGGTGCCTCTTAAGTGTTGCTCTCAGAGGTGTTGGACTGCTGGCTGGTTGGCTGGCCAGACTAAGCTGTGAGCCCTGGCTTGGCTAGGGGCCCCTCCACCCCACAAAGGTTCTTTTCTTCTGACAGGAAGGAACATGGAGTCTATCAGCTTAGGAATGGCCCGGACGGGAGGCATGGTGGTCATCACGGTGTTGCTGTCTGTCGCCATGTTCCTGTTGGTCGTGGGCCTTATTGTTGCCCTGGCACTGGGTGCCCGAAAATGAGGAGGGCTCTCCGGCATCACAGGCTCCTCCAAGACATCCAGCTTGCTTTGTCCCAGGATTCAGTCACTGGCTCTACAACCCCCCCCCCTGCCTTCTCTTCCGGTTCCTTGTCTCCCTCCACTCAGCCATTTCCTAAGCATCTCTCTCCCTGCTCTGTCTCACCTTCCAATACTCACTGCTGTCTCCTATTGTAGTCCTGTGAGAGCTGATTTTCCTCCTCCATGGGCTTAGCTCTCATAATAAAGGCTGGCGCACGTCTGTGTGAGTTGCCCTCATGCACTTGTTACGGCACCAATGTCAAAGACAGATGTATGTCATTCTCTCTAGCCCCAAGTCCCAGGATGACTTTCCCAGGATGGAGGCAACCAGGGGCAAAGGCAATGACAGCCTAGAGACAGCTCCAAGCTCCAGACCTGGGGTGTGAGTTTTTCATCCTGCTTTCAGCAGGTCACCCGAGCAGGACTCCGGGTTGGGCTGGGGGGTAGAAGCGGGATCACCACATGGGACGTGGCATGGAAGCTGACAGAGCTGGGGGAAGTACTGGAGGAAACTAGAAGGCAGGGCAGACACTGAAGATGGGTAAAGAACATGTCAAAGGGTGCTGATGTGTGTGTGTGTGTGTGTGTGTGTGTGTGTTTGTGTGTGCGTGAGTGTGTGTGTGCATGTGTGAGTGTGTGTTGTGCATATACCATGTTGAATGTGTTGAAGATAACTTTTGGGGGTCTATTCACTCCTTCCACGTGTGTTCCAGGGTTTTAGGCTTTCAAAACACACACACAAGCCAGACAGTGGTGGCATACACCTTTAATCCCAGCATTTAGGAGGCAGAGGCAGGGGATCTCTGTGAGTTCCAGGCCAGCCTGGTCTACAGATCGAGTTCCAGGACAGGCTCCATAGCTACTGGAAAACCCTGTCTCGAGAGAAAAAAAAAAGGAGACAACACTTGCTGCTCTTACAGAGAACCCAGGTCTGGTTCTCAGCACCAACAGAACTGTAACTCCAGTTACAGGAGATCCACCGACTTTTGGCCACCAGAGACACCTGAACTTATGTAGTATATAAACGTACACTCACGCCTTCACATCTATTCATAAAATAAAATGCTTGTAAATGAGTGAGTGAATCACTATGCCCCTGAAGAGAATGAGGGATGGGTCTGTGCCAAATATTCCTTGAAACCCACAGGGGAGTGGAGACACACTGGAACAACGCTGTGCGTTTATTATTTGTTTAATTGGTGTTGGGGTTAGGGACTTAGACAGGGTTTCACTTTGTACCTCAGGCCAGCCTCAGCCTTGTAGGACCCTCCTGCTGTAGCCGCCCCAGCTTTGGGGTTACAGGTATGAACCACCATGCCCAACTGCAACTATGGTCTCTTAAAATTAACCCCAGAGGGCTGGAGGGATAGCTCAGAGGTTAGGGGCACTGACTGCTCTTCCAGAGGACTGAGTTCCCAGCAACCACATAGTTGCTCACAACTATTCATAACAGGATCTGATGCCCTCTTCTGGCGTGCAGGCATACATGCAGACAGAATACTATATATATATAATAAATAAATAAATACTAAAAAAAAAACAACAGATTAACCCCGGATCCCAGAGGAGGTAGCAAGAGAAAGGACACACTTTATTTCTCTGTCCCAAACACAAAGCATAAGGAGGATTCACTAGCAGACAACACAGAGGTCTTCAAATGTGAGCCGATAAATACACAATGCAGGCTGGGCCTTGGAACAATGTAATCTCAGCACTCAGGAGGTAGAGGCAGAAGGTAAGAAATTCAAGGCCAGCCCAGACGGGGGAGACCCTGTCTAAAAATAAAAAACAACTTTATTAAGCAGCGTTAATCCCAGCACTGGGAGAAAGAGGAAGGTAGATCTCTGTGAGTTCAAGGCCAGCCAGTGCTACATAGTGAGACGCTGTGATCCCAGCACAGGGTGGCTGAATTAGGTTATTGTGCTGGCTAACTTTATGTCAGCTTGACAAGCTGGAGCAGTGGTTCCCAACTTGTGGGCCACGACCTCTTTGGGGTTAAACAACCATGTGGAATTGCCTCAGACTCCAGAAAACACAGATATTTATAGTGTGATCCATAGTGGTAGCAAAATTACAGGTATGAAATAGCAAAGAAAAAAATTTTTTGTTTTTGGAGACAGGGTTTCTCTGTGTAGCTTTGGAGCCTGTCCTGGAATTTACTCTATAGACCAGGCTGGCCTCGAACTCACAGAGTTCTACCTCTGCCTCCCAAGTGCTGGGATTAAAGGCGTGGTCCATCACTGCCTGGCTGCAACGAAAAACTTTTTGGTTGGGGTCACCACAACATGAGGAACTTTATTAAAGAGTTGCAGCATTAGGAAGGCTGAGAGCCACTGAGCTACAAATCTGGGAAGAATGACCCTCAATTGTGAAATTGCCTCCAAAAAAAATCAGACTGCAGGCAAGCCTGTAGGGCATTTTCTTAATTGGTAACAGATGTGGGAGGGCCCAACCCCTTGTGGGTGGTGCCGTCCCTGGGCTGGTGATCCTGGCTTCTGTAAGAGAGCAGGCTGAGAAACCCCGAGTAGCAGCCCAGTAGGCAGCATGGTCTCTGCATCAGCTCTGGACTCCTAGTTTTTGCCTGGTTTGAGCTCCTGGCGTGGCTTCCCTCAATACTCCGGATGTGTAAGCCAAATAAACCCTTTCCTCCCTAAGTTGCTTTTGGTCTTAGTGTTTATCACAGCAATAGTAACACTAAGACAGTTATCTCAGATACATAGTACAATTCCAGCCTGGGCTACAGGAGACTTCCTAGTAAAGAAAGAAAAAAATAGCCTGAGGATATGGGTTGGTGGGTGAGACAATTTGTTCTGCAGACATAAAGACCTGTGTTTGAATCCTCACCACTCACATTAAAACAGACAAAACATGATCTCAGCACTTGGTAGGCAGAGCAGGCAGGCGTCTGTAAGTTTGAAGTCAGCCTGGTCTACATAGTGAGTCCCAGGGCGGTCGAGCTCTATAGTGAGACCCTATTGCAAAAACAAAACAAAACAAAAACAAAACAACTGGGGCTGGAGAGATGGCTCAGCGGTTAAGAGCACAGACTGTTCTTCCAGAGGTCCTGAGTTCAATTCCCAGCACCCACATAGTGGCTCACAACCACCTTGAATGAGATCTGGTGCCCTCTGCTGGCATGCAGGCAGAAGACTGTATACACAATAAATAAATAAAATATTAAAAAAAAAAGAAAGGAGAAGAAAAAGAAAGAAGAAGACGACGATGACTAAAGAAAATAAAAAAGTCTGTTATGATTACATACACCTGTAACTTCTGTGTTGGGGCAGAGACAGAGAAAGGCTAGACAAACGTCAAACATAAGGCATAAGGTTCAGTGTGAGACCCTGTCTTAAAGGAGCAGGGTGGCCTTTACTTACTTTACACACTTACTTTACAAAGTAAGGGTCCTTCCTTACTTTGGGGAGAATCTTGGAGGATCCCATGGCAGGTGAGGTTGACCACGGCGGAGGGACAAACACGTCAGGCAGACAGCGTTTAGTGAGAAGTTTTATTAGAAAGGGGAGAAAAGGGGGAAGGAAGGAGACAAGAGGTAAAGAGACACAGAGACAGAGAGAGAGGACAGAAGAGAGACAGGAGAGACAGGGAGGATAGGTGGGCGGGGTCTTTTTTGATTTAAGGGTCCTTTGCACCTACATGCAGACTACGCAACCAGGGAACCCTGGGCTGACCAGGTACTGCCTGAGTGCATTCCGCCTGCCGGGTGGTAGGGGCTGGCCAGCATAATGCCTGAATCCTTACAGTACGAACCTAACTGAGTTGAAGCTGGAGGCCAGGCCGGTCACGGAGAATGTGTACTGAAGAGATGACGTTTGGAGCTAGGCTTCGTGTGTGGTAGCAGGAGCACGGTACTGACGCGCAGAACCGCTGCCTGCCCAAACAAGCACCATGGAAGGCGTGCTGATTCAGACCTGGCTCAGAATGAAGACGACCCTCACCAAGAGACTCCACTGTGCAACCGAGTCTAGCAGTGACCAACACATCTGACGCACGATTTACTACTGCCAAGTCTGCTGCTGCTGTTTTTCCCTCTGTGGGCTGTGGTGGTGGTGATGTTGGGGATGACCTCGGACTGCCTGAGCCCCGCCCTCAGCTTTGGCAGTGCGTACCTTTACATTGTTCCGTGACCTTGGCCGTAACCAGCCTGGCCGAGATAAGGGTATCCAAGGAGAAACGAGTCTCCCTCCTTTGTCCCTCTGACTGAAACCCAATGTCAGGAGGAGAGCCCAAGTCCCTGGCAGTAGCCAGAAGAGGAACTTGTCTTTCAGAGAAAAACTTACAACTTGTCAGACCCCCTTGTAGGAGACTGGAGTCCAGACAATAATGGACCTGTTTGCACAGAGCCACACCCAACTGGGCTTCTTCTTCTTCTTCTTCTTCTTCTTTTTTTTTTTTTGGTTTTCTGAGACAGGGTTTCTCTGTATTGTTTTAGAGGCTGTCCTGGAACTCGCTCTGTAGACCAGGCTGGCCTGAAACTCACAGAGACCCACCTGCCTCTGCCTCCCGAGTGCTAGGATTAAAGGTGTGTGCCACCAACGCCCAGCTCCAACTGGGCTTCTTAGTCTGCTCTGTATTAAAACCCTATAGATGGACTTAAACTTCCCTTTCATGTTAGAATACTGGAGACAGACTTTCAGAAAGTCCACTAGATCTCTGTCTTCTTTTCCAATGTGCTTACATGGAATAAGTCTCTTTTTCTGCTTTTCATTATTTTTCCCCCAAGACAGCCAGGGCTACACAGAGAAACCCTGTCTCAAAAAAACAAACAAATAAACAAACAAAAATCAGGAGGCCATGCTGACTCATGAGCCATTGTTATTGCTTGTTTTTCTTTTTTCTTTTCTTTTTTTTAATGGGGGGTCTCTCTGCTAGGAACTCAATGTGTAGATACAACAGGCTGGCCTAGAACTCAGGAAGATCTGATTGTCTCTGCCTCTCAAGTGCTGGGATTAAAAGCATGCACCATCACTGCCTAGAGTGACTCATTCATTTAATCCCACCACTCGAGAGGCAGAGGCAGGCAGATCTCTGAGTCAGGACAGCCAAGGCCACATATTGAGACTCTGTCTCAAAGACAAAACAAAAAACAGGAACATTGTTGGGATAACTGGTGAAATTTGAGTAAGATTTTTTGTTTGTTTGTTTGTTTCATTTTTTTTTCCAAGACAGGGTTTCTCTGTCCTGGAACTTGCTGTGTAGACCAGGCTGACCTCAAACTCAGAGATCTGCCTGCCTCTGCCTCCTGAATGCCAGGATTAAAGGCATGTGCCACCACCGCCCATCTTGAGTAAGATCTATAAATGAAATACAGTATTGAGTCAATGTTAAGTTTTCTCATTTTTAGGGCTCACAGGTAAAGAGCACTTGCTGTTCAATCATGAGGACAGGAGTTCAGGTCTCAGTACCTGTACCCCACAATCAGCCTGTAACTCCAGACACTAGGAATAAGCCACTCTCTTGTAGCCTTCAAGGGTACCCACACACATGTGCGTATACACCCACACAGACGCATGGAAATGAAAGGAGTAAACTAAACTCAAGGGCTTCACTTCTAATAATCTAGAATAATCTAGACAGACCCTCACTCAGCCCCCTGCTTTAGTAGCCATGACAGGCTACAGAAAATACACGTAGGCCTCTGACACATGGAAACTGCAGATCCTCTGGCCTCCGAGAGTCTAGGGCCAAAACTGAACACAAAGAAACTCTAGACCCCGCCCCCCAAGCCTCCCAGATGCTTGGTTCCTGGCAACTGTTTGGCCACAAAAGGAACTCCAGGGGGGACTAAAACCTCCCCTTTAGTCTCCAGGATATAGTTCTGAAAACTATTGGGATCTATGTACAACAGGCCACCTGCAAGTAACAAGACAAAGCCATAGAAAGCACAGAATGGGTCAGGGGTTGGTAGCGCACGCCTTTAATCCCAGCACTCTGGAGGCAGAGGCAGGCAGATCTCTGTGAGTTCTGAGGCCAGCCTGGTCAACAGAGCAAGTTCCAGGACAGTCTCCAAAATAATACTGAGATACCCTGTCTCCAAACCCCCCCAAAAAGAGAAACCACAGAATGTTCTTTCTCAACGATGACCAATGAAAATAATTGGTACACAGGTATTTCATGCCAAGATTGACTTTGAAAAATGCTCCTAATTGTAGCCAAATGTCAACCAATCAGAAACCAACCCGTAACTGCTGATGTAATCCTGTAACTTTTGTCTTTAAAACCTAGCAGTAGACAGGGAACTTCACTCCCTCTGGAGGCTGCTGTGACAGCTAGCCAGACAGGGTCCCTGTCATGGGTGGGTGAACAATTAAAACCTTGCTTTTGCAGTTTAGTGGATCTGTCTTCTTGGTGGTCTCTGGGGACTTTGCAACTTGAGCACAACAGGAAACATAAATTTATCAATTTTAAAAATCTTTAAAACAGTCGGGCATTGGTGGCGCATGCCTTTAATCCCAGCACTCGGGAGGCAGAGGCAGGCGGATCTCTGTGAGTCCGAGGCCAGCCTGGTCTACAAGAGGTAGTTCCAGGACAGCCTCCAAAGCCATAGAGAAACCCTGTCTGAAAAAACCAAAAAAAAAAAAAATCTTTAAAACATTCAATTCCAACACTTGGGAGGCAAATTTGAGGCCAGCCTGTTCTACATAGTTAGTTACAAAGCTACACAGTATGACTCTGTCTCAAATAAAAATTAAATAATTAGGGGCTGGAGAGATGGCTCAGAGGTTAAGAGCACTGACTGTTCTTCCAGCATATAACACTTTTTTGTAGCCGGGTGGTGTTGGCGCATGCCTTCAATCCCAGCACTCAGGAGGCAGAGGCAGGTGTATCTCTATGAGTTCAAGGCCAGGCTGGACCGACAGCCTCCAAAACAATACAGAGAAACCCTGTCTCGAAACACCAAAAAAACAAAAAACAAAAAAACACTTTTTTGTAAATTAATTAAAAACAAAATTTTTTGTTTTTTGAGACAGGGTTTCTCTGTGTAACTTTGGAGACTGTCCTGGAACTAACTCTTGTAGACCAGGCTGGTCTCGAACTCACTGAGATCAGCCTGCCTCTGCCTCCCAAGTGCTGGGATTAAAGGGCTGCACCACTAACACCCGGCTCAAAAAGAAAATTTTAAAAATCAAATTGCTAATCTCAGCTCTACCACCTACTAAGGTTGTAATCTTAGATAAACCGCATAAAACTTTTATGAAATATAAATTTGATTTTTTTTTTGAGACAAGGTTTCTCTGTGTAATCCTAGTTGCCCTGTAGACCAGGCTGGTCTCAAATTCAGAGATCTGCCTGCCTCTGCCTCCTGAGTGCTGGGATTAAAGGCGTGCAGTAAACTACTATGCCCTTCTTTTCTTTTGTTTTTTGTTTTTGTCTTTTCGAGACAGGGTTTCTCTGTATTGTTTTTGGAGCCTGTCCTGGAACTCGCTCTGTAGACCAGATTGGACTCGAACTCAAACTCACAGAGATCCGCCTGCCTCTGTCCCCAGAGTGCTGGGATTAAAGGCGAGCGCCACCAAAGCCCGGCTTCTTTTTCGTTTTCATTTTTTAAGGCCTGCTGGTGTAGCACCTTTGGCCTGCGCGCCACCACGCCCCCGCATTTTAAAGTCTTCCCACCCCCCAGTCCCCACCCACTTGAGCCAGGGTCGCTGGTAAGGAGACTACTCTGTGTAGCTTGAGGTAGCGTTGAGTGTGTGCTTCCACCCAGAGTGATGATAGGCGTGTAGCACGAAATCCGGTTTTAGGCGGTAAGGGGCTTCGAACTCGACAGCTAGGCAGGCACTCCACCAGCTGCGCGGCGGCAGCATCCCCAGGTGGAGGAAAGCCCGGTGGGTGCGAGCGAGTGCCGGGTGGACCCTGAGTGACTGGAGGGGCGCTGGCACCTGGCCGCTCCCACCCACTCAATTGCCGGGGGTGTTTGAGGAAGCACCTTCCATGCAGGCAGCAGGCGAGTCTCCGCCTCTCGCACCCTGCGGCCTGGCGTCCTCCGTCCTTTAAAGTGGACCCCAAACTCCAGGACCCGGACTTCTGGGCCAGCCTCCATGGCCAGGTCCCGGGCTTGCTGGACTGGGACATGGGCAACGAGTGTTTCTTGTCCTTCACCACGTCGTACCTGCCCCTGTCCACGCAGAAACGTGAGTGGGGCTGCGGGGGAGGGGCTCGTGGGTGGGTGGCGGCACCCAGCGTGGCTTCCAGGCTCACCAGCTCGCTGGGCTCCGGGTCTCGCCCGACGCGGGAGAGGGAGCAGCTCTTCCTGCCACTGAGTCCCCAGACCCGCACACCCTAGGCTGTAGGGTCCCATCCCGTCACCCCCCCCCCAGAACGTTTGTAGGCCTCTTCTGAGCCCTGGTGCTCGGCGCATCAGAACTCGGCACACCGAAGGCTTTATTTTTCGGTGTATAACAATCACAGTTTTCTTCGGGGAAACACCCTTGCCCCTTCTGCTTGGTTGTTGCTGTTTATGTTTTTGTTTTGAAGCCTCAAGTCTTAACAGTTGACCTACCTCCTGGGGCTCTAGGAGTGGGCCACCGCCCCAGGCAATTAGCCCACCCCTACTTGTGTTGTCTGTTAGGGTGGACCGGTATGTTCTCCCTAAATTTTTCCTCCTCCTTGGACCTTTTTTTTTTTTTGTTTTTTTTCGAGACAGGGTTTCTCTGTGGCTTTGGAGGCTGTCCTGGAACTCCCTTGGTAGTCCAGGCTGGTCTCGAACTCACAGAGATCCGCCTGCCTCTGCCTCCCGAGTGCTGGGATTAAAGGCGTGGGCCACCACCGCCGGGCTTTTTTTTTTTTTTTTTTTTTTTTGCCTCATCCGGCAAGATGGTTGGGTTCACACTCCCTTTTCTCAAACTCTAGTCCCATCCATCAGCTCACCTCCGTGTGTAAATTTCATACACATCTAAACTGACACCGGAGTGATTAACCCTGGGCCAGCCTGAAGGTGTTTTGTGCACGGCCCTTGTCTTTGTTTCTGGGAAGGTTGTGCTTTTTGTTTTGAGACAGGGTTATCACCGTGTAGCCTTGGCTGAGTCCAGAATTCTAGATCAGGCTGGGGTCCCTGACGTGGTCTTACTTATCCAAGTAGGAAAGTAAGTAAGGAGGCAGTTAGATGCCAGGCCCTGGGCCTCTGGGGAGAGGGGTGGATTAGTGACACAAATGTTGAGATTTGGTATGTGGTTGGAATTGAAGGAGTAAGAGTAGTTGGACCAAGGCTGAGCCCTTGATGCATTCCAGTGGAGAGACTGAGGAAGAAGAGATAACCACCCCTCAGAAGATAACCAAGAACCAAAACAGGGGTGCTGTGGTGTACAGGAACTCTGGTGATAAAATGTTTGAAGAATTGAGATTGGGAAATAGAAGTGGGAGGTTCCTGAGCTCAAGGTTATCCTTGGCTTCTCCAGAAGTTCAAGGGCTGCTTGGCCTAGATACCAGCACCCCTGTCAAAAAAAAAAAAAAAAAAAAAAGGAGGGAAGAATAGGGGTGGTCAGCACAGGGTAATGGGGTAAAAAAAAAAACGTGTGTATGGGGGGGAGAAAGAGGGAATATAAACTTGGTGTATTTTGAGACAGGGCTCTGCTATATAGCCTAGGTCTCCAATTTAGGATCCTCTCAATCAGCCTTCCTAGCTGGGATTACAGGTGCAAGCCAGTAGTCACAGCTTCCCACTGTCTTTCACAATTAACACGTGCAAATCAAAAGATTAAAGAGCTAGGCTTGGGCCGGGCGTTGGTGTCACACACCTTTAATCCCAGCACTCTGGAGGCAGAGGCAGGCGGATCTCTGTGAGTTCGAGGCCAGCCTGGTCTACAAGAGCTAGTTCCAGGACAGCCTCCAAAGCCACAGAGAAACCCTGTCTCAAAAAAAAAAAAAAAAAAAAAGCCAGGCATGGTCGTGCACACCTTTAATCCCAGCACTTGGGAGGCTGAGGGATGCAGATCTCAGAGTTCAAGGCCACCAATACCTGGCTTTAGTTTTGGTTTTTCGAGGCAGGGTTTCACTGTGTAGTTTTGGAGCCTGTCCTGGAACTCACTCTGTAGAGCAGGCTGAACTCAAACTCTCAGAGATCCACTGCCTCTGTCTCCCAATGCTGGGGGATTAGAGGCATGGACTACCACCCAACTAGAGTAATTTTTTAAAAGATTTGTTTTTAATTTATTTAGTGTACAATGGGGTTTTGCCTGTATGTATTCCTGTGTGAAGATGTCAGATCTCCTGAAAGTGGAGTTATAGGCAGTTATGAGCTGCCATGTGGGTGCTGGGAATTGTTTTTGTTTTCGAAATAGGGTTTCTCTGTGGCTTTGGAACATGTCCTGGAACTAGATCTTGTAGACAGAGATCCACTTGCCTCTGCCTCCCGAGTGCTGGGATTAAAGGCGTGGGCCACCACCGCCCGGCTAGATCAAAAATTTTAACACATCAATTGGATACTTATTGAAGACTGATGGTAGGAAAACCTTAAGCCTTCACAACTGATTGTGGTATAACACTTGGGAGTCACAGGTAGACAGGTCTGTGAGTTCCAGGACAGCCTGGTCTATATAGCATATCATAGGTTAGCCAGGACTACTTAATGAGACCCATCTCAAAAAAATCTTTAAAAAATATTTTGTCTTCGCCGGGCGTTGGTGGCGCATGCCTTTAATCCCAGCACTCGGGAGGCAGAGGCAGGCCGATCTCTGTGAGTTCGAGGCCAGCCTGGTCTACAGAGCGAGTTCCAGGACAGCCTCCAAAGCCACAGAGAAACCCTGTCTCGAAAAACCAAAAAAAAAAAAAGTTTTTGTCTTATTTTGTGATGTTGGAGATTGAACACAGGCCCATGCATCTCAGATAAGATGTTCACTGATGAACAACAACCTCAACCCTAAGTCTTGTTTTCCATAACAAAAACATGGGGCCAGGGAGATGGTCCAGTGGCTAAGAGCACTTAACTCTGCATGTGAGATTCTGGGTTCAAATCCCCAACACCTGCCTCAAAAGCTAGGCATGACTGTTTGTGCCTGAACTCTAACATTTAGGACTGGAGACAGGTGGATCCCCTGAGCTCACTGGCCAGCCATCCTAACCCAAAATGGTGAGCTGGTTCTTAAAAGGAACAAGGGGCAACTTGATATTTAGCAGATAATGGTGCATGCTACTTGAGTCCCATACAGTGGAAAGAGAGAACCAGCCCCTTCATCAAATTGTCTTATGATCTACACACACCATGACACATGTGCCACACACACTAATTAACTTTATGCTTTAATATACATACATATTTATACATACATACACACATGGTGGAACATGATAGAGGAAGGCATTGGAGATCCTGGCCTCCACATGTACATATACAGGGCAGGGCATGCATACACACCCCATACAGATCCATGTACTCCCATAGATGTTCCACAACATACATTCACACACATAGGTACATGAACCCCCAGTGCACATATACATGTTCCACATCTCCCACATACACACTTATACAGGCGCCCAAACACATGCTCTATACTATACATACATGCTGCACACAAAAACCCACAATAAAAATAGCAGAGGTAGACAAGATGGCTTAGCAGGCAGATGCCGTCTAGCCGGATGGCCTGAGTTTGGTCACCAGAGCCCACATGGTGAGAAGAAGAAAACCAACTTTTGCTAGCTGTCTTCTGATCCCCACAACTGCACTTTGGCACCCCAACACACACACACAAATGCATGCAAATAGATATAATACCTATGTTTAAGAACAGAAAATTTGCCAGGTGTGGTGGCTGTGCCTTTAATCCCAGCACCAGGGAGGCAGAGGTAGGTCGATCTCTTGAGTTTGAGGCCAGCCTGGTCTACAGAGAGAGTTCCAGGACAACCAGGGCTAAGCTACACAGAGAACAAAAAAAAAAAAAGAAAGAAAATTTGCTTGGTACACACCTTTAACACCCCACCTCTGGGGGAAAAAAACGAACAGAAAACTTTGTGCAATAAAAGGTGGTGTGGGGGGGGGGGGGTCTGGAGAGATGGCTCAGTGGTAAGAGCACTTGCTGCTTCTCCAGAGGACCAGGATGCCCACATGGTAGCTCACAACTGTCTGTAACTCCTGTTCCAGGGAATCTGGAACATACCTGCAGACAAAGCACCAATGTACATAAAACAACAGAGCAAAAACACACTTGTTGTGCATGCTACCACGCTAATAAGGAGCCTGGTACACCTCAGCTCAGATTTGAGTTTCCTGTTTTGAACTGCAGAGCTTTTTAAAATTTTCTATTTTATGTGCATTGGTGTTTTGCCATGGGTGTCAAACTCCAGACCTAGTTTTGGTTTCTTTTATTTGTTGTTGTTTTTTGGTTTTTCAAGACAGGGTTTCTCTGCGGCTTTGGAGGCTGTCCTGAACTACCTCTTGTAGACCAGGCTGGTCTTGAACTCACAGATCCGTCTGCCTCTGCCTCCCGAGTGCTGGGATTAAATGCGTGCGCCACCACCACCAGCTTTGTTGTCTTTGTTTTAAATATAGTCTATAGATTGAAGTCAGCTCCAAGTGCCCTAAGCTATTTTCTCAACCAAGAAGTTTATTTTAGGGTATTCTTTTCACAGCTGAGATTGTAAGTCACCATCTGTAAATCCAGGGCTCTCAACTCCACCTACAGGCCAGACCTCTACCGTCTGTGACCCCTGCTTCAGTTGTGCCATCCATATGGGGTTGTAATTCACAGTTGGATGAGATAGGGATGTATCATGAATGATACTTGTAGGCAGGCCTAGATGATAGGTTTTGTTCTGAATATTACCTGATAGGCTATCTTGCCAGTCCAAGAAAATATAATTTAATTGAAGTTGGCCCTAGTAATATATGTCTGTAATCCTGGGGGGGGGCTGAGGCAGGGGGATAGAGAGTTTGAAGCCAGCCTGGGAAAGGAGCAGAAGGGAGAGAGATGAGGGCCAGGCAGGTAGAAAGGAGAGGAGCAGAGGAGAAGGGAGATGCTGAGTTTGAAATACTTGCCAATAACCCAAGTACACCCAGTCCACAGCTCTACTTTAGACACTAGCAGGCAGTCTGCTATGCAGGTAGATGTGGGAGCCCTGGATTTTTAGATGGTAACACAGCACGGCATCTATGAGGTTGTCCAGGGATAGTATATGAAGAGTGAGAAAAGAATATGGAAAATTTGAAGGTCACAGGTGAGGGAATACCAGTCTCTATAGCTTCATGCTACCCAGGCTAGATCAACAACTGCCCCCAGAAATCTTCAAGCCCCCAGATCATGGGGAACAGTGATCTTGAATGTCTTGACTCTCTTTCTGTCTCTCTCTCTTTGCTAGTTGCTAAATACAGACTCCAGCTAGTTGAGCCACCAAGACTGCCTTTGGAAAAAAAACCCAACCCTGATAAAGATGGTAAGTAGTGAGCTCTGTGGACGAGGTTCTGCTTCCCTAGCTGGGGTTGCCTTGATCCCCAAAGCCAGTGAGCTATGGGAAACCTTTTCCTCTGCACAGGTCCAGACATTAAGCCCAATCTGTGGATGTGGGTGAACCCAAACAGTGTGTATCCTCCTGGCAAGCTGGAGGTCAAGAGACCTAAAAAGCAGGACCTGCTGAGAGTGCCCCCTGCTTGCCATGCAGCCATGAAGGAGGGAGAAGCCAGCTGTTCACAAGGTTCAGGGGCACAGTCATGGCTGCCTTCTTCCAGCCAGCCATCACGCCCTGGCAAGCAGAAGACGAAGCAGAAGCACGTTGCCTCTGCCCCTAGCACCTGGGAGGAGGTATGGGCAAGTGGGCACAGGGCTGAGGCATCGGCAGCTGGGCTTCTGAGGGCCGGTAAAAGATGAACAAGTTTAGAACCGATCTGGACCCTTGGGTTGGGGAGAAGCCCAGATGGTGGATTCTAGACTGCTCCCCCAACTGCCACTGTAGTCTGGAGCTGAGGCCAAGGAGTCAGGACCAGATCCTACTCTGTGCCCCTCTAGCTTACAGAAGAGGAGGAGGCCAAGGACCAGGATGACAGCTCCTCTGTGGCTCTCCCATCCCTTCCCACAAGGGCCCCCCTCCAGAGTCGGAGGAGGCTTCAACAAGCTCTCAGCCCTGAGGGGAGGCTCTGGTCCCGCCCCCCTCTCAATTACTTCCATCTAATTGCCCTGGCACTCAGAAACAGTCCCCCCTGTGGCCTCAACGTACAGGAGATCTACAGCTTCATTCGGTATGTGCCCAGGGGGCCCTGTGTGGAGGGAAAGGGGAGGGTCAGGGTTTAGTAAATTCCAACCTGGCCCTGGGCTGCTGACTCAGTTTCCCTCTCTGGGTCTGAGGATATATTGTGTGCCTTCCTGGATTTCTTTCCCCAGGCAAATGCATGCCCTACCCCATGTTCAGGAACATAATCAATCCTTTCCCCCTCTCACCTCTTAAAATTCAGCCTTCCCTTCACGTCAATCCACCTGGGTCAAGTTGCAGTTTCTCCCACCCTACCTCTAAAGATCAGCCAGAATAAAATCCAGTACCCCCAACATCTCCCGCCTATTGCTCCTTACGCTGTCCTGCCTGCACAGAGCCTTATACCCCCTGGGGTCAAGGAAGCCTCACTGGGAATTTGCTTTTAGCGTGTGTCTGTGTGTGAGGTCATTGGAATCAAAATTAGGGTCTCATTTTTGAGACGAGGTCTCACTTTGTAGCTCTGGCTGGCCTGAATCTCACTATATAGGCTAGACTAGGCTTGAGATCAGAGATCTAATTGCCTCTTGTCTCCCTAGTGACAGGGTTTCTCTGTGGCCCTGACTGTCCTTGAACTCACTACGTAGACCAGACGCCTCAAAATCAGAGACCCACCTGCCTCTGCCTCCTTAAATGCTGGGATTAAAGGTGTGATACCACACCCGGATAACATTTAGCTTTGACAGTCGTATACAAGTGAGTCTGTGGGAGGCCTTCCCGGCATTAGGCAAAGATCCCAGTATCTCAACATGTGTGTTTGTTCTCTTTGGGTTTGATACAGTTATTGGTTCTGCCTCTTCCTGATGTCAAAATCTCCAGCCCTTGAGGGAAGGGCAAAATGAACCTGGGGTTGGGGACACTAAACTGAGTTTTGGGAGAAGAAAGTTGGTGTCTTAGTATGGTGACACAGGCCTGTAATCTTAGCATGTAGAGGTAGAGGTAGGAGGCAGACCGAGAGTCTGGTTGTTCTCTGCTACCCAGAGAGTTCAGTGTCAGTCTGGGCTACATTAAGACTCAAAAAGATCAAAAGGGCCGGGCGTTGGTGGCGCACGCCTTTAATCCCAGCACTAGGGAGGCAGAGGCAGGCGGATCTCTGTGAGTTCGAGGCCAGCCTGGTCTACCGAGCGAGTTCTAGGACAGCCTCCAAAACAATACAGAGACCCTGTCTCGAAAAACCAAAAAAAAAAAAAAAAAAAAATCAAAAGAAGCCAGGTGGCAGAGGTGCACACTTTTAATCCCAGCACTTGGGAGGCAGAGACAGGCAGACAGATCTTTGTGAGTTCAAGGCCAGCCTCCGAAGCTACAGAAGAAACCGTCTCAAAACCAAAAAAAACGGTAAAAAAAAAAAAAGTGTTTCATAGGCAATGCCCAGCAAAGGGCCATTCCAGACCAGCCTGCTCCACTTCACCCTACTAGGAAGTGCTGAGGCTCCTGGCCCTGGGGGAGAACAAGGACCAGAGTAGGCCCTCTTCAGGTGAACTATACCCTTCCTTAATTTTCCTCCCTGTCCACAGAAAGCACTTCCCCTTTTTCCGGACAGCTCCAGAAGGCTGGAGGAATACAGTGCGTCACAATCTCTGTTTCCGAGACAGCTTTGAGAAAGTGCCGGTCAGTATGCAGGGTGAGGCCAGCGCTCGACCTCGATCCTGCCTTTGGAAGTTGACTGAGGAGGGACACCGCCGCTTTGAGGAGGAGGCCCGAACCTTGGCTTCCACTCGGCTGGAAAGCATCCAACAGTGTATGAGCCAGCCAGGTGTGAAGCCTTGTCATGAGCGGGCCCAAGAGTAGGGGGCTGGAGGTGCTCACCAGGGTCACACTCTAGGGACATCTGTAAGAAGCAGAGAGAACAGGACTGGATGAGGCCCTCTAGCAATGTCTGCTGCTGAGACCATTGTATACAAGGAATAGGTGGGCAACTGAGTTTTCGGCTGGCTCTGCTCACAGCCCAGCATGCTAGGAAATCGCATACGAGCTGAGTAAGAAGTAAGAGGGGTTTTGTGCAAAGACCACTCTTCTATACAAGCAGAAAGGCTGCAGGAGAGGTAGTATTTGAGCCTTGAACTCTATGGGACAGCCTAGCAGACCCAGGGAAGAGCAGGTAGAGTTTGCAAGCTCCTCTGAACTCTCTTACAGATGTGATGCCCTTCCTCTTTGACCTTCAAGAAGGATCAGCCATGCCCCATTAAATAGTTTCCTTCAGCAACAGTTGTGTGTGTGATCTCTGAGAATGAGGCCAAGCGGATGGGGCCAAGTGGGAGGTTGAATTCAGCTCCAGGAATGAGAATAGGGGTTGTCTTGGATAGTGGAGGCTCATGACTTTAATCCCAGCACTCAGGAGGCAGAGGCAGGCAGAGCTCTGGGTTTGAGGCTAGTCTGGTCTACAGATCAAGTTTCAGTACACCTGGGGATACATACAGAGAAACCCTGTCTCAAAAAAACAAACAAAAAATTCCAGAACAGGTTCCAAAGCTACAGAGAAACCTGTCTTCAGAAACAAAACAAGAAAAGGAAGAGGGGTCCTGGAATGGGTTCTCAGATGCTCCTGCGGCACTGGGGCAGGTTCCTGACAGGCATGAAAGGAGATGCTTCTTTTTCCTCAATGGAGGAAAATGATAATGTCCAGCTCTCTTCAGGATCCTGAAGCAAATTTTGTTTTTCTGGGGCACCAAGATCACCTTGGGGCTGGGAGTTGGTGGCGAACGCCTTTAATTCCAGCACTCGGGAGGCAGAGGCAGGCGGATCTCTGTAAGTTCGAGACCAGCCTGGACTACCAAGTGAGTTCCAGGACAGCCTCCAAAGCCACAGAGAAACCCTGTCTCGAAAAACAAAAAAAACAAAAAAAAATCTTGGGAGATGCTGGCTTGTAGCAGTCAGCCCTGGAAGTACCACTCACTCCTTCATCTGACAGCTGTCGAGCAGCTGCTGGTACTAAGCTGAGGATGAGAGACAGGAGACAGACCCTGCCTCAGCTGCAAGGGAAAGACGATTGCTCAGGGATCTGTTTGAGGTGTTGACTTACTGTGTAGCAGGCTGACCTTGAACCAAGATCTGCTTGCCTTGGCAGCTGGGACTTCAGGCATGTTTGAAAACTGGTGGTGCACACTAATAATCCCTGCATTCAGGAGGCAGAGGCAGGTGGATCTGTTAGCTCGAGGCAACCTGGTCCATAAAGCAAGTTCCAGGACAGCCAGGGCTGTTAATTCCAAATGTAGTCAAGTTGACAACCAAAAACAGTAATCACAAGCCCCACCCCTTGTCAACTTGCCACAATCATATCTCCTTAAGTCATGCTTAATTTGCATGTGAAAACAAACAGGTCATAATTATGCCCGACATAACTATCCCATGTACAATAGCAAAAGCATTATATATTTAACTAGGCCATAATTATGCTTAACATGGTAGATACAGCTATCCCTCATACACTATAGCAAATAAAAATTTTATAATCGGGGGCAATATCCCTTGAGTGTTTTAGTATCTCAAATGTAACCACTGATATTCTCTTAATTGATGTTACATCACGTGATAAAAGAATTGGCAGAAAACACAAATATCTGTACAAACACATTCTTAACAAAATATGACACTCTTGTCACTTACAAACTTGTTACTGCAACTGGTGACATGGCCTTAGCTGGTGTTTACAACTACCCTCCTCTTCTACCCATTCTGTATTTCCTCTACCCTCAGCAAGCACCTCAGCAGGTCTTGGCTCTCTTCCTGGAGGAGTGGCTCACGCCTTCATTCCTGAAGGGTCTAGGCCCATTGTCATTCTGCCTGGATTAGGATGTTGCAGTTTCCCATTGACTTTAATCACAGGACATGACAGCACCAAGAGAAGCCCTAAGGATCTCCTGCACTCAATCCAATTTCCCCATGGCAATCTGAATCAATCACTCCTCCTAACACCGTTAGTCCTTTCTTAGTTTGTTGCCTTAAGGGCATCAGTAACCCAAAGAGGCCTGGGGAAAATCTGAGCTTCCCGATCAATGGAATGTTTGTTGTATCTCTTGGCAGGTGTTCTCCCACATCAGGAACCAAAACATTTAGGCCAGCACTGCTTAAGACCATGCAACAGAAAGCAAAAAAAAATTTCTAGCAGGTCACTAAGGGTGATAGTGAGTGGAACTGTTACCTCTGTTACCTTTTCTATTCCTTAATTCCTGGACACATGAAATCTTGGCTATGGTAGAAACCATACCATATATTGGTTGCTGATTCAAAGCATATGCCACCTTCTGAAGAACCCTATCCTAGCCCTCCAAAGCTGCTGCCACCTAATTAGTACAGTAACTGTGTCATCAAGAGGCCATTCCATCTTTCTGTCAAGCCATCTGCTTCTGGATGGTGGGGAACATGGTAAGACCACTGGATTCCACAATCGTGGGCCCACTGTCTGCACTTCCCTGGCTGTGAAGTGAGTTCCCTGGTCAGAAGCAGTGTTGTGTGGATAAAACCACCATGATGGTGGTTTTGACACAAGCAGGAAAGCCAAATCCATAGCCAGAATAAATATCTACTCCAGTAAGGACAAAGTGTGTCCTTTCCACAGACATAGTGGTCCAATGTATTCAGCCTACCACCAGGTCACCCACTGGCTAGTCACTCCGGGGTATAGTGCCAATCTGTCTGTCTCTGCTGCTGGCACATCTGGCACTCAGCTGCAGCAAGGTCAGTCTTGGTGTCAGTCGTGTTGTCAAATCCATGCATAACCCTCATCTCTGCCACCAAGGCCACTTTGTTCATGGGCTCATTGGGCAATGACGGGAATGGCTAGAGAGAGAGAGAGTGGTCACAGAATGGGTTGTCCTATCTGCTTGGTTACTGAATTCCTTCTCTGCTGGAGTTGCCTTTTGATGGGCGTTTACATAGGAAATTTCAAGTCCCTGACCATCCAATCAGTCCGTTGGCCGCAGACCATGAGTCAGTGAACAGTTGCACACATGGCCATTTCTCCCTCCAAGTGAAATATACTGCCCAAAGTTCTGCTCACTGGTGTCTTACAGGGTTGTCCCAAAAAGGAGTTGTAATGCTGTAGCTGTCCACTTCAGAGGGGGTTCCTGCAGAGCCATCAGTAAACAAGGCAGAAAGAAGGCCCTAGTCTTCTCTTCCTCAGTCGTAGGGCACACCCCATGAGGCTATAGCTGCATGCTTGGCAGCAGATGGCATTGTAATAGGTATAGAAATTGGGCAGCTTCTTCATGTAACTTGCTTGTGACTTCAGGACCTGCTTGGGCCCATCTCTTATATACCACTTCCATTCGATAATAGATTACTGCTGTGCACAACCAACTTTATGACTTGTTGTGTCCCATAACACCCAGCTCATGATGAGCAACTCAGGTTGCATAGTAACTTGGTGTCTCATTGTCAAAAGTTTCCACTAAGGCCCAATAGCAGGCCAAGAGCTGTCTCTCAAAAGGAATAGTTGTCTGCAGATGATGGTAGAGCCTTGCTCCAAAAATCCAAAGGTCTCTTTCTGATCCAACTATATAGGGACCTGCCAAAGGCTCCAAACGACATCCCTGTCTGGCAGTAACACCTCCAGTACCATTATGTATGCTGAATCATATGGCTTAAGTGGTAGAGCAGCCTGCACAGCAGCCTGGACCTGATGAAGAGCCTTCTGTTCCACGCCCCACTCAAAGCTAGCAGCTTTCCAAGTCACTTGGTGTATGGGGAGGAGTAACATGCTCACCTGAGGAATGTACTGTCTCCAGAATCTAAGGAGGCCCACTGAACAGTGTGCTTCTTTCTTGGTAGTGGGAGGGGCCAGGTACAACATTTATCTTTGATCTTAGACTATCTTGGGCCGGGGAAATGGCTCAGCAGTTAGGAACACTGGCTGCTCTTCCAGAGGACCTGGGTTCAATTCCCAGAAACAACATGGCAGCTCACAATTGTATGTAATCCAGCTCTAAGTGATCTGACACTGTCGCAGACACATGCAGGCTAAACACCAATGCACACAAAATAAAAATAAACGAATCATTAATTAAAAAAAGAAAGAATGCCAGACAGTGGTGGTGCATGCCTTTAATCCCAGCACTCGGGAGGCAGAGGTAGACGGATCTCTGTGAGTTCAAGACCAGCCGTGGTCTACAAGAGCTAGTTCCAGGAACCCCCCCCAAAAAGAAAATCTCTGCCCCACTAGGAATGTGTGGAGGTTAAGGTTTATCAGGCTCCCAGCATTCAAAAGCTCTATCTCCCCTGAACTGATTAGACTGTCTTGTCCTGCAGTTCCCCAACCCTGGAGACCATGTGCCTACCCAAGGCTGTGTCCTCAGAGGCCCCTCGCCTGAGTATCCTCTCCAGAGACTCCTTGGTGTCACTGCCTCCAGAGATCGTGTCCACGACAGGGCTCCCAGGTCCTGCAGCTGGCTGTACACGGTGGTCTCACTTCATCTTTCCTTTGCCCTCCTTGCTGGTTGTCCACTCTGCAGTAGAGCCTACATTCTACAGCCTACCTTGGAAATTGAGGTCTCTTTCCTAGCATGGGGAAGGAATAAGTTGAAGTACTGTGCCTAGTACCGAACCTGGTTCTTAGTAGGAGCTACTGTTCATTGTGACATCACTGTTCTAGGAGGCTGATGGATTAATCATGACCTGGATCTACTTTTAGTCCTGGATGCCTCCTACTGATAGCCTGGACCAACGTGTTGCTTAGCAACATTTTTGTCTTTGACACTTCTCTTGACTGTCTCAGTAGATAGCCTGTCCTGAATTAAGCTATGCTTTGGGTATACGTTTTCTTAACGTTTCTAAGCCTGTTTCCTTGATATGTAAAATGAGGATAATGAAATAAAGTGGAGATTTGATTTGAGAACTAAATAAGATCATGGAAAGGTCACAGTCTGGTGCACCAACAAGTGAGATGCTCCATCAGTTCAGATGTCATTACAGGTGTGCTTTTGGATTTAATACACCCCAACACCTTACCAAGTAGATACTGTGTTGTAGAATATTATTTTAAGGTTTTGATACATTTGCTTATGCTCTGGAACATTTGTGTAATGATGTAAAGATGTGTTTATGCTGCATTTGTTTAACTCTGTGAAGCTGTGATTCTTTGTCTAAAACAGAGAAGAAACAAGCCAAGCTAAGGCCTGGCATTCATAGGTAAGTCTCCAAGCCCTTTTTTGGGAGCTGGGTGCTGGGCCCCCAAAGAGTAAAAAGAACAGCTACATTTTATAATCAAATAAATTTCTTTATTTTATTATTTTATTTTTAATTATGTGTGTGGGAGTATGAACATTTATATAGATGACAGTTGGAACTGGAGTTATAGGCAGTTGTGAGCCATACATATGATGTGGGTGTTGGGAACAGAACTTGGATTCTGTCAAAGAACAACAAATGCTCTTAACCACTGAGCCATCTCTCTAACGTTTAAATAAAATTTTTAAAAATCAGTATTGGCGCCGGGCGTTGGTGGCGCACGCCTTTAATCCCAGCACTTGGGAGGCAGAGGCAGGCGGATCTCTGTGAGTTCAAGACCAGCCTGGTCTACAAGAGCTAGTTCCAGGACAACCTCCAAAGCCACAGAGAAACCCTGTCTCGAACCCCCTGCCCCCCAAAAAAGTCAGTATTGGGAGCATAGATGAGAAAATAAGTTAATACAACAAACATTTCTTTCTGCTTATTTGAATATCATCTTTGTTTTAGTCTATCTACATGCAAATGTCTAACCATCTCATATTTTCAAGCACAGCTGTTCATTGCAATATCTTTTACTGATTTTCTCCCTTTGTTTTTCTGAGTTAACCCAACTAGTGAATTACAGTGAGATTCCTTTTTATTCCCTGTTATTGAGACATGGGCTCCTGTAGCCCAAGCTGATTTTGAACTCCCTATATTGCTGATAATTACCTTCAACTCCGGGTCCTGAGTGCTAGGGTTCTAGGTATGAAGCAGCGTACCTGGCTCTATAAGAAGCTTTCAGAGTTACACGTGTGGTAGGTTATTGTCAGCACGCTCCATTTCAGAGCAGTGAAGTGTTTGCAGGACAGAGTGTACAGCCTCCACCACATAGAGAGGACAGCACAAAGGAAAAAGTGAGGCTGATGTCCAAATCCCCAGAGCCCAGCGTGGGGTCTGTTAGGTTACAAGGCCTCCCTGTGGACAATGAACAGTCACTTCTACAGCAAGCATATCTCGTATATTCCCAGGAAGCATGGAGATGGGAGCATTTAGCTCTGACTGCAAGCACTGGGGGCAGCTTCTCACAGGAGGAGACACTGGCACTGAGTGTTTTCCAGGTCTGGGAAACAGTGAATTCATTTCCACAAGTGCCCTAAGCTAACCTTGCTCAGCAGGGTCTGCTCATGTAGGAAGCAGAGGTAAGGGCTGGGGAAATGAATAACGGAGATAAGATGGGAAAACATGGGTTACAGATGTGCATGGGCTAAGTCCAGATGAAAGGATTTCCCCACTGTAAATTGGAAATGTACTGAATGTACCTGATACAGAGAACTTCCCATCACCAACACAGGATACCTCAGAGGATGGAACTTAGCTGCATGGAGGCTCACCACTTCCCCAGGTACCAAGCGTGCATGTGGCACACAGACATACATCCAGGCAAAACACTTATACAAACAGAAGTAAAATAAATCTTTAAAAAGAAAGAAAATATGTTGCTGGGCAATAGTGGCACATCTTTAATCCACAGGCAGACAGATCTCTGTGAGTCTGAGGCCAGCCTGGTCTGCAGAGAGTTCCAGGACTGCCAGGACCACACAGAAAAACCCTGTTTCAAAAAACAAGCAAAGGATACTGCTGGCTGCTCTTCCAAGGGACCTGGTTTCAATGCCCTGCACCCACATGTATGGCTCACACCATCTGTAACTAGCTACTGACGCAGGGGAATTGATAGCTTCTTCTGGCCTCCAAGGTCACTAGGCTTGCATGTAATGCACAGACATACATGCAGGCCAAACTCATACACATGTTAGGCTGGAGGTTTCGGGACAAACAGATCCTCCCTACACCAATCCAGTCAGAAGCCAGTGCTTGCAGCTGTCCCGGTAAAACACTGGACAAAGCAGACAGTTAGTTCTGGTTCTGGATTCCAAAGTGATCACTTGACTCAGGACACACCTACAGGACCCCCAAGCCCAGGCATTATTCCAACACCTTCTCAAGCACACCACTGGCTCCCAGCTCTCTCCCACAAAAAGCCCCTAACCTAGTCTAGCCTTGGGACTTTATGGACCTCCTACTATGAGACTGTGAACTTGCCCAGGAGTGACTAATCCCTAAATAAACCTGTCTTTTACTTTTACTCTTTTTTGTTTTTGTTTTTTGAGACAGGGTTTCTCTGTGTAGCTTTGGAGCCTGTCCTGGAGCAGGCTGTAGAGAAACTGAAAGAGATTTGCCTGCCTCTGCCGCTAGAGTGTGCCACCACACCTGGCAAGGATGAAGGATTACTTACAGGAGTGGAAATGACTCAAAGACATCTGTATCACAAAAGCCTACCTCAGCATGGGAGACATAATCACAAAATCTAGGAACTTAGAGCACACTGCACAGCCTGCTGGGAGAAAGGGAGAGAAAAGAAAATTCAGGGGTTGGCAACATATCTCAGTGGTGGAGTGCTTGCATAGTTTATATGAAGCCCCTGGTTCCATTCCCAGCTCCACGAATGAATGAGTTCACAGACACAATATGGAAGTTTCTCAGAAATGGTTAGCATTTGTTTAGTAAACACTGAGAACTCATGGGTGCCACTTCATTGTAATTACACCCCAGCTCAGAGCCTTATAGAATAGAGATAATATATGACACAGAAACGGAGAGAAGTCAGTTCCAGGCATAGGAAATTGAGGGATAGAGATGTTAACACTCATTGCAGCAACAGGACTATTGAATGGAAGAAAGATGGGGGCCAGTGGAGGGGGAGGGGACAAACCCTGGGAGCTGGGAATCACCTGGCAGCAAGCTTTGAAAGACATGCAGGGGAGGTTGGAGTTTACTCTGAAGGCAATTTAGTCATTAGTTACTAATCAGGAAAGTTGTTTTGGAGACTTCCTGAGGGTAGCTGCAGGGGGTAAATAAATGAAGTAGGAAGAGACCAAATGCTTGGAATCCAGTTAGATCTTACAGGGATGCTGGCCAGGGATGTTCGGCTGTAGTCCCAGCGTTTGCGAGTTCAGGCAGGAAGTCAGGAATTGAAGGTCATTCTCAGCAACACAAGACTGAGACCAGCCTATGCTATGAGATCCTGTCTCAAAAAATAAACACAAAACAAGACAAGATTTTAGACGAGTCCAGTAAGAAAAAACGGATTTGAAAGATGTGCTGAGCGAATAAAAATGGAGGCTGGCTTTAAAACCCCGCAGGGGCCCAGTGAATAAGACAGTTTACTCGCTGGGTACCTTCTGACTTTGGCTTGGTGGCTTCATTCAATGGGAGATAAAACTATCTGAGGTGACCGCCAGTGTGACAGCCCTAAGGGGAAAGGTTTCACCAATGCAAGTGTCGAAGCTCTGAAGGAAAAGGTAGTCTGGCCGTCAGGAGCCAAGGAATACCATAAAGTCACAGTGCACAACAAAACATTTATTGGGAAAGATACAAGAGAGCAGCTGCCTCTGCTTGGTGAGTAGCAAAAGAACCCAGCAGGAGACAGGCTTTATACGCCCCACTCCCTCCCCACACCTTTTCCTTGGTGGCCTGATCTGGGTCAAGCTCTGGGATTGGTGGGATTTTGTGACCTTATCTTGGGCCCTTTCTTCTTTCAGTAGTGCAGAGCTTGGCTGCCTGCTTCTCCAGGGGCTAGAAACAGCCATTTCAGCCTAGAGTAAGGGGTACTCCAGCCTAGAGTACTCTGGGGTAGGGGTTATAGTCTTGAAGAGGAAGATGTTGGATTCCGTTTCACAAGCCAAATTCACCTGGGAAATGGACGTTTGGTGGTTGATGGTTGAGACTAGCAGGCAAATTCGTTCGTAAACCAAATTGCAGATGCCCAGGAAGCTCACAGTAACTGGGGTAGACTGTGTGGATTACTTTGAGCAACTTTGGGACAAGTGAGGAAACACATTCTTTGTGGCATATGACATACGAGAATTCTTTTTAACTTACGTTCATTGGAGTTACAGACAGGTGTGAGCTGTCATGTGGGTGCTGGGAATTGAACCAGGGTTCCCTAGAAGAACAGTTAGTACTCTTATTGGCTGAGGCGTCTCTCCAGCCCCGACATACAAAGTCATTATAACAGGATTCACTTAAGCATTAAAGTTTAAGGAATTACATTACCAAGCCAATGCTGGGTAAAGTGTCTTATAAAGAATATTCTACTTCGGAGCACTTTTAAAGATTAAGGATTACCACCAGCAAGTCAACACTTCTGTGGGGTGACTGCAACTATATCACAATCACTTAGACCAAGTGTTCCCCCTGCAGGCTTGCTGGATACCGATTCTGCTACTTAACACCTCTGTAGCCTTCCTCAGTGGTCCTCATTTCTCCCAAGCCGAATCTTTCTCGTGTGTAAAATGCCAATAAGGCTAAACCACAAAACGTCAACGTGAGGATTCAGTAAGGTCGTTAACACAAAGCTCGGGGACCCTGTGTGCGTCCTGTAATGACCAGTTCGGATTTGCTACGCTGTCTAACTGGGTCTTTGTCAACGCCTAGAGAGTGCGTAGTCGGAGGTCCTAACTGGCGTGGATCCTGTCTAGTGTATCCACACGAAGTTCTTTCTCACTCCGCAGAACATCTGGGATGCTACTGATGCTGCCAGGTTTTTCTGGGGCTGCGTGGGAGGGTCGAAGTAGTGAAAGGTCTGCGCAGCCGCAGAACGGATTGCAGTAGTGCCTACGGCCTCTAGAGGGGCCCGAGAGCTCCCGAGTTCGCTCCGCCCCGTCCCGCCACGGGAGGTCAGAGGTCAGTGGGTGGAGACAAACCGGCAGGCGGTGGAGGTGATCACGGGTCCTGGGTCTATGGCGCCACCCCAGCGATGTCCTCTGTGTCGCCAAACTTTCTTCTGTGGTCGCGGACACGTCTACAGCCGCAAGCACCAGCGGCAGTTAAAGGAGGCTCTGGAGCGGCTTTTACCGCAGGTGCGGGCGCGAGGCTGGGGGAGGCCTGGAATGCGAGCCGGGCTGCGAGAACCCTCAGGCTGTGGTTTCAGAGCTCTAGCTGGTTTCTGTCCTGCAGGTAGAAGCCGCTCGCAAGGCCGTTCGTGCCGCCCAGGTAGAGCGCTATGTCCCCGAGCACGATCGGTGCTGCTGGTGTCCGTGCTGTGGCTGCGAAGTACGAAAACACCTGAGCCACGGAAACCTGACTGTGCTGCACGGAGGTCTGCTGGAACATCTGGCCAGGTGACGGCTGGGGAACACCCACCTCCCCGGTATACACGGAGATGCACACACGTGTGGGATGGAAAGTTGGAACTGAGGAGAGGAAGGTCGCTTTTGTGACTTGATTGGGGTAGAGAATTGAATTACCTTACCAGTCTTGGAGCGTAGGGGGTCTTAGCACTCACCACCACGGTCTTGTTAGAAAAGCCAACTTGCGCCGAGCGGTGGTGGCGCACGCCTTTACTCCCAGCACTCGGGAGGCAGAGGCAGGCGGATCTCTGTGAGTTCGAGGCCAGGCTGGACCGACAGCCTCCAAAACAATACAGAGAAACCCTGACTCGTAAAAACCAAAATAAAAAAAAAAAAGAAAAGCCAACTTGCTCTCCTCCCACCACCTCCTACTTTAATGGAAGAAAGGAATTCCGGGATTGAGATCTTAAAGAGGTTGGTAATAAATACTATTCTTCTCTCTGCCTTTTCCAAGGAAGCAACCCAGATGCTAGTCTGCATTACTTACCTAATGCTCTGATACCCAGTGCTATTTTACTGTCTAGCTAAGATTACTGTTTTTCTCCATCCTCAGCCCAGAGCATAAGAAAGCCACCAATAAATTCTGGTGGGAGAACAAGGCCAGTGCCCAAATGAAAGAGAAGTTTCTGATCTCCCCCCAGGATTATGCACGGTAAGTGACCTGTTATAAAAGCCCAAGTCGCAAAGTGAACTCTCCAGATCTTTGTCAGGCACAGCATCTTCTTCCCTTTGGAAAGTCCCAAGGGAGTGTGATGGCTTACATCTGTATCCAGGACTAGGGAGGCTGAGAGTGGATTCTCGAGAGTTCAAAGCCAGCCTGGGTTTGAGACCTTATCTCAAAACAAGAACAAATTTGGGAAGTTCAGAGTCGAGTCTGTTGGTGCACACTCATAGTTCCAGTACCCAGCTGAATCAGAAGGATCTCGAGTTCCAGGACAGCCCAAGCTGCATGTCTCAAATAAGTAAATGTGTTGGGAAGTCCAGCGGGGTGCCATTATGGTCTACTGCTTTCATAGCACTTTTTCTTAGTGTGCCCCACAGGCCACATTCTGTATTGAGTGTGCACACACAAGAGATGTGATGGGTGGGTGTGGTCCCTTAGGCCTATAGCCCCTGCTGGGGTGTGGTCCCTTAGGCCTATAGCCCCTGCTCTTTGGAAGGCTGAGATAGGATTTCTGGCCTCAGGCCAGAAGAGGGCATCTGATCCTCTGGAAGTAGAGTCACAGATGGTTGTGAGCTGCCATGTGGCGTTTGAACCTGGCTCTCTGAGAGCCGCTAGTGCTTTTCACCTCTGAACCACCTCTTCAGCCTCCTGTGTAGGCTCTTTGATTAGTGAGTGAAGATATATAGAAAGTTATCACGGAGGGCAATAATGAATTCTTTTTCTTTTAGGAGACGGAATTTCTTTATGTAGTCCTGGAACTCGCTCTGTAGACCAGGCTGGTCTTGAACTCACAGAGATCCGCCTGCCTCTGCCTCCCGAGTGCTGGAACTAAAGGTGTGTGCCACCACATTTGACTTATGTTCTAACTTAAAAAAAAAAAAAGCAAGGTGTAAGAGAGTGTACAAATGCAGATTATAGGTGCACACCTATAATCCATCACCAAGAAGGCTAAGACAGGGGATTGCCTAGCCTTGCTTCTTTTAAGACAGGATCTCACTATGTAATCCATGCTGGCTGCAGTCAAGATGCCTCCACTGTCCCAGTGGTGGTACTAGTTAAGACTTAGTTTTATTTTCTGTGTAGGAGTGTTGGCCTGTACTGTATGCATGTATGCTATGAACATGCCATGCCTGCAGAAGTCAGAAAACCATGTCAGATGCCGTAGAACTAGAGTTACACAGTTGTGACCACTATGTAGGTACTAAAAACCAAAACCAAGTCTTCTCCAAGAGCATCAAGTGCTCATGACCTCTGAGCCATCTCTCCAGCCCTTATTTTTAATAATGTCGGGAAAGGGGAGGGAGGGGTGTGAATACAGGTGTCCTTGGAGGCCAGAGGAGATGTTTTTCTGGAGGAAAACATGTGTGTTGGAACCTGAACTTGGGTTGTATGCAGGAATGGTGTATGCTCTTAACTTCCGAGCCATCTCTCCAAGCCAATAGTGGTATTTTATTTTTAAGATTTACTTAAAAATGCCAGGTGGTGGTGGCACACGCCTTTAATCCCAGCACTCGGGAGGCAGAGGCAGGCGGATCTCTGTGAGTTCGAGGCTGGGCTGGATCGATAGCCTCCGAAACAATACAGAGAAACCCTGTCTCGTTAAAAAAAAAAAGGAGGGGAGCTATGTAGTGGTGGCACATACCTCTAATCCCAGCACTCAGGAGGCAGAGGCAAAGGCTAGTAGATCTCTTGAGTCTAAGGTCAGCCTGATCTACAGAGTGAGTTCCAGGACAGCCAAAGCTACACAGAGAAAGCCTATCTTAAAAAAATTATGATTCTTTTGTGTTTGTGCTTATTTATGTGTGTGTGTGTGTGTGTGTGTGTGTGTGTGTGTGTGTCTATGTCTTTGGGTATGTGCATGAGTGTTGCTGCACAAGGAGGCCAGAAGCATCAAATCCCCCTGGATCTGGAGTTACAGGTGTTTGCCAGCTGCCCAACATGGATGCTGAGAGCTAAGGGAGTCCACTGGTAGAGTAGCATGTGCTTTCTTATTTACTCATTTATTTATTAAAGATTTATTTATTTATTACATATATAGTGTTCTGCCTACAGGCCAGAAGAGGGCACCAGATTGAATTGTAGATGGTTGTGAGCCACTATGTGGTTGCTGGGAATTGAACTCAGGACCCCTGGAAGAGCAGTCAGTGCTCTTAACCTCTGAGCCATCTCTCCAGCCCCAGTATGTGCTTTTTTAAAAACATTATGTGTATGGGTTTTTCCTAGCATGTGTGTCCGATGCCCTCTGAAGCTAGAAGAAGGCACTGGATCCCCTGGAACTAAAATGTGCTACCATGTTGGTGCTGGGCCTCAAACCAGAGTTCTGTAGAGGAGCAGCCAGTGTTCTTAACCACGGAGGCATCTCTCCAGTCCCACTTTTAAGTATTATAGTATAAAACAAATACAAATATGTGGTTGGGGACCAGAGTGTGGCAGAAGGAAGATATAGGTAAAAAGTGGAGGGATTTAAATAGGAAAATATCCTATGAGACCTTTGGGTATAAAGGCTGAGTGGTCAAGAGTAACCTTGGTAACAGCCTAAGTGCCAGCAGTTCATGTACCTTCTAACAAACAGTGGGAGATGAGCAGTATAATATTCCTATCAGAAACTGTTAACCTGAATCTCACTACAGGGTACTGCAGGGCCTGGAGATGATGGCTCAGCAGTTAAGAGAATTTGTTAAGCCGGGCATTGGTGGAGCACTCCTTTAATCCCAGCACTCGGGAGGCAGAGGCAGGTGAATCTCTGTGAGTTCGAGACCAGCCTGGTCTACAGAGCGAGTTCCAGGACAGGTTCCAAAACAATACAGAGAAACCCTGTCTCAAAACCAAAAAAAAAAAAGAGAACTTGTTGCTCTTGCAGAACACTTGAGCTCAGTTTTCAGCATGCCTAATTGTGCAACTCACAACCAGCTCCAGGGTGTTCAACACCCTCTTTTGGTCTCTGAGGAGAAAATTAGACATGCATGTAATGTTGAGACACATATGCAAGCAAAACACCTGTACTCATAAAAATTTTAAAAGTTTGCTGACCAGTGTAGTGCACGCCTTTAATCCTAGAATTTGGGAGGCAGAAGCAGGTGGATCTCTGTGAGTTGGAGGCCAGCCTGGTCTATAGAGTGAGATCTAGGACAGCCAGACCTACACAGAGAAACTCTGTCTTTAGAAGTCAAAACAAACAAGTGATCTTTTTTTTTTTTTAAGATTTTTTTAATTATGTATACAGTGTTCTGCCTCCATGGCAGAAAAGGGCACCAGATCTCGTTATAGATGGTTGTGAGCCACCATGTGGTTGCTGGGAATTGAACTTAAGGACCCCTGAAAGAGCAGCCAGTGCTCTTAACCTCTGAGCCATCTCTCTAGCCCCCAAACAAGTGATCTTTAAAAAGAAAATAAATGCAGGGTGAATAGTGGGGCTGGCATGACAGTGTTGCCAGTGTACCCAGGTGAGAGGTACAGGCGCTCATTTTACCAGTTTTGTGAGTTACAAATTCTCAAAATTAAACTGAGCATGATGATTTCATCCCTGTAATCTCAGCCCTCAAATGGCTAAGGTAGGAGTTCTATGCTAGTGCAAGGTACACATTCAGACTGTCTCATTTTTTTCCCCTCAGAATTAAAAGCTATCTATTGAAGTGTTCTTTACAACTAGTGGGGCTGATTTAAAAAAAAAAAAAAAGATTATATGAATTGAACTCAGGACCTCTGGAAGAGCAGCCAGTACTCTTAATCTTTGAGCCTTCTCTCCAGCCCATCTCTTTCCAATTTAATGTCCGTTTTTTTTTTTTTCTGAGGCATGGTTTCTTTGTGTAGTAGTCCTGACTGTCTTGAAATTCACTTTGTAGACCAGATTGGCCTTGAACTCACAGAGATCCATCTGTCTTTGCCTCAGTAGTGCTGGGATTAAAGGCGTGTGCCATCACCACCTGGCCTTTTCCAGTTTTTCTGTTTGTTTTGGTTTTTCAAGACATGGTTTCTCTGTGTAACTTTGGAGCCTATCCTGGCACTCTCCTGTAGTCCAGGCTGGCCTGGAACTCACAGATATCCGCCTGCCTCTGCCTCTGCCTCTCAAGTGCTGGGATTAAAGGCGTGTGCCACCATCACCCAGCTCTTTCCAGATTTTTATAATTCCTTTATTTTTAGGTTTAAGAAATCCATGGTGAAGAGCCTGGATTCCTATGAGGAAAAAGAGGATGAGGTGATTAAAGAGGTAGGAAGAAAGACCTCTGAGAAGGACCTTTCCTGTGATCCTGAACCGCCCTAAGAATTCTTTCTCCCACAGATGGCAGCTCAGATCCGTGAGATAGAACAGAGCCGGCAGGAAGTGGTCCGATCTGTCTTAGAGGTTGGTTTCCCTCGGAGGACCCAGAGCAGTATCCAAATCCACTGACTTCCCCCGTCCAGCATTTCAACAGGCAGCTCTTCTCAGAGAACTAATGAGTCACAAGTCCATATGCCTCAGTGGAGGCAGGGCTGGGAGTTGGCAAAATGGGCAGTGCCCTCCATAAGATACTGGGGTCTGGAGTGTGGGGGCATGGTCCAGGCAGGCTCTTAAGCACCTTAGACACATTTATTTTTCCTGAATCAAACTCAGCCTCAGGCAGAGCCAGATCCAGAAGAGGGCTCTTCGGCACTGGGAAGCTGGGAAGCAGCCAATGGGTAAGTTATCAGGGAACTCTTGAGTTGGATGCTGAAAGATGGGAATGGCTCTTTTCTTTGCCATCCTCACTGCTCAAGGACCTCATCTTCCAGCCTGGCTCCCCTGTTTTTCAGCCATGTAGCTTCCAGCTCACAGCAGGTATCACACTTGGACCTGCAGCGTGTTCCAGAGCTTGACTGGATGGAGACAGGACAGCATTTAACATTCATTGGCCATCAGGTATGGTACAGTGGACAAGCAAACTGGGAGGGGTCACTGACCCCTCAGGTCCCAGGACAGCCCTGTTTTGGCTTTTCTACCTCTTCTAGCCATTTGCAGCTCCAGTTGGCTTTCCCTTACTACCCTTCTGTGTAGCGTTCCTAGACTCTATGCAGCCTCTCAGGGTGACCTTTATTTACAACAGCTTCCACTCAGGAATACCAGCCTCACAACCCCATCTTGATATAAAGGGTATCCACACTTGGGTACCCCTACAGGCATCTGAAATGATGCCACTCCACACTGCTATTGAATCCTATCACCCCCTTCTATTTCCCATATTGCTGTGTTAACTATTGACTGATTTTACCTCCAGTTTACTTCAATCCCACCTTGGGATGGTTTTCAGTGACTAAAGTTCTTCAGAAGTAGCATTGTCAGTTCTCTAGCTCTGAGTATTTTATCTCATAGTTTTCTTTTTTTTCCTTTCCATTTTTACCACAGGATACACCTGGAGTTGGTAATATACATTCAGGTAAGTTTCTGACCAGTTTTTTGTTTTTTTTTTTGCTTTTTTCTGAGGCAGGGTTTGTTTTAGATGCTGGCCTCAACTCAGAGATCCACCTGCGTCTGCTGAGATTAAAGGCATGCACCACCAACACCCAGCCCCTAATGAGTGTTTCTATGTTTGCAAGACAATTTTTTTTTAGACAGGATCTTAATTTGTAGCCATGACTTGGGATGGCCTAGAATTCAAGAGATTGGCCTGTCTCTGGCTCCACCTGAGTACTGGGATTGAAGGTGTGCATAATCATGCCCAGCTATTTTGATACAGGTTAATTCTTAGTTCATGCTGGCCTTGAGCTCCTAATGTGCAAGCATGAGGACCCAGCTAGCTCCCAATCTCCAGAACCTATGAAAAGTCAGCTTTTTGCATAGCACTGTTGGACACAGATGGATCCTCAGAGCTCACTGACCAGCTGAAACCAAGCTTGTTTTGGTGATTCTTCTGGGAGTGTAATATACCACCTTGAGAGTTCAGCATACACTTGTAAATATCCCTTCCACTCTGAGATCTACTTGCTTTCTGCCTCCCAAATAGTGTGCACCACTACCAGGCACCGATTTGGCTTTTTGTTTTTTAAGACAAAGGTTTCTCTGTGTAGCCCGGTTGTTCTTGGATTAAAGGAGTACACTCAAAACCTTGGGCTCCAGAAACCCTTTTATTTTTGAGCACACCTGGCTGGAACACGTTCCATTAGTTAAGGGCTTTGCTTTGTCTTAGGTGCTACACCTCCATGGATGATCCAAGAGGAAGAACACAGCTCTGGAAACCTACCAATAGGACCTTCCTATGAAGAATTTCTTAGAGAAAGTAAGTACCTTAATTTAATGCTATTTCCTAGACTGGCTGCAATGCATATCAACAGACCCAATTACTTAGATCAACATAATTCCCATTTGTAGAAGAAAAACAAAAACTGAAGAAACTGCCCCCAGAAAGAGTTGGGGCCAACTTTGACCACAGTTCTAACACTAGTGCAGGCTGGCTGCCTTCTTTTGGTAGAGTGTGGAATAACGGTCGCCGCTGGCAATCCAGGTATGTGTCTAGACTCTTAGTCACCCCTTATATATTTTCTATTCATCTTGCTAATTCTTCATTTCCTTCCAGGCACCAATTCAAAACTGAAGCTGCAACAAGAAGCAAGCAGCCACATAAAGGAAAAAGCTGAAAGTCCCCAGCCTGCTACTCCATGGCCAACAACCCAATTTCAAGTCTCCAGTTGCATTTATTAGGAAAGACAAGAACCCATTCATTTGATTTAATAAAGTTTTATTTTTCCAAATGTACAGCTGATTGAACCTGCAAAGATAGAGCAAAGTCAGAATCAGTATCTTAGAGGGAATAAACACAATATTTCAAAGCCAAGAGACCCTTGGGTTCCCACCTGCTTATGCATCTTCACCAGCAGCTGGGGCATCTCCACCCTTTGTGTTTCTGGTGTAAATCACTTGAGCTCTGTGCTTAGAAACCAGCTTGATAAGTCCTAGGCAGAAAGGGTAAGGTTTTTTTTTTTTTAATTTTTGTGTTTGAAGTTCTTGCCTGCATGAATATATGTGGCTTTGGAGGCTGTCCTGGAACTAGCTCTTGTAGACCAGGCTGGTCTTGAACTCACAGATCACAGAGATCCTCTTGCCTGTCTCCCAAGTGCTGGAATTAAAGACGTGGGACACTTAACAATTAGACCCTAAAAATCCCATTCCCCAAGAGAGGCAATTCAAGGTTAGCCTGGTCTACGAGTGAGTTCCAGGACAGCCAAGGCTACACAGAAAAACTCTTGTCCTGAAAAAAATAAAAAACAAATAAATAGACCCTAAGTTCTTAGGATGATGTTTGAAAGAGGGTCTTACTTTGTAGCCCACACTGGCCTGGAAATTGAGATCCCCTTTAACCTTCAATGTGCTGGGATCACAAGTCTAAGAATCAATGTAGCTGCTTTTGGGATTTATTTCTATGAATGCAGGCCAATAGGGACGGGGAGTAGTGGTGCAGGTTTCCAATCCTGGCACTCAAGCTAGGGCAGGAGGATCGAGAGATCAAGGACACAGGCTACAAAGAGACCCCATAAAACAACCCACTCACCAAAACCATAGGGTGTTAACTCTTACCTTTACTAAGTAGCTCCTGAAGGGCTGCCCTGGCCAAGGAACCTCGAATCTTCAGTCTCTCAGAGACCACAGCTGGAGTAATAAGCTTGTAATTGGGCACTTCCTTACAGAGCTTGTCATATGTAGCTTTGTCAAACAGGACTAGATTGTTGAGCTTGTCCCGAACTTTGCCTTTGGACCACTTCTGCTCATAAGAACAAGTAAGCACCAGTCAGAAAGTCTGGCAGAACCATGCTTTCCCAACAACACAAGTCTGAGAAACCCCTCCCGTTAACATCTCAGGTAAATTAAGGACGTCAAGCTAGGTGAGGCAGCTTTAGAGCCTGGTAACAGAAAATGAGACAGCATCTGTTAGAATGCTGCGGCCTGAACCAAAGACTTTATACACTTTTCCACCACGGCTTTAAAGCATGGTCAACCTAGGGGTCGCAAACCAAATATCTACATTTTGACTCGTAACAGTAGCAAAGTTATGCAGGTCGGTAGTGGCGTACACCTTTAATCCCAGCACTCACTCGGGAGGCAGACGGATCTCCCTGAGTTCGAGCCCAGGGTGGTCTACAGCGTGAGTTCCGGGCCAGCTAGGGCTGTTACAGAGAAACCTTGTCTCAAAAAACAAACTAACAAAAACTACAGTTATGAGGTAGCAACGAAATAATTTTATGGTTGGGGGTTATCACCACATGGACTGTAGTGAATAAAGCAAAGTTAAGAACCACTGACTATTGTACCACCACACTCTTGAAATAATAAAAAACAATGAGCAGGGCAAAGTCAGCAGTATGATTTTAGAACTCACGATCTGAAGAAAAAATCCACAGCGGAGACTCACGAAAGGTCTCCCCAGAACCCCCTCTATCACAAACGGCTGTCCCTTACCTTCTTTTTGGCCTTGCCACCAGACTTGTTTACTGGGTCTTTGTCTTTCTTGGCCGACTTCCCGGCATCTTTCTTCTTCTTGTCATCCTTAGGCGGCTGTGGGAAGAAGGCGGGAGTGCAGGATGGTCATAGGGTGGCCCCGATGGCCGGATTTCTCCCACCCATGGCGGCGCCGCCGGAGCACATGGGCGCCAGGCCCGCGGCGGCGCAGAGACGCAGCCCCGCAGATCACGGAGCGCCCCGTGTGCCGACGCCTTCACCGCCCCCCAGCTCCGCTCGGCCCTCCGCACCCCGCTGCTCAACACTGGCGAGCCTCACCATGATGAAGTTCGGAGAGAGGCGACAACCACTGCAGCCTCCACTAAGATGTCGGAAAAAAAGGAAGCCCGGCTCGCTAACAATCCCAGAAACCTCGGCCTAGAGAAAGCACTTCCGGGGCAAGAGGTGGGGCCACACTTTAACACACTCTGCCTCACCCTCCTGTGAGAGGCGGAATGGGAGGAGTGGCTTCCGGCCTGCAAGCCACGCCCCCAGGCGCTGGTTGTAGCTTGCTGGTCCCCCCGCAGCCACTAACGCTCTTCTCTAGTACCGAGAAACAGCGGCCCAGTCCCAGAAACGTTTTTCTTCCAACCATGGGGGTTTGGTCTGCGCGTGCGCTTCAGGCGGGGAGGGGTGTGGGGAGGCATGGGCGGGGCCATGACAGCAGTTCCGGGGCTGGGACGTCCGAAAGAGGCCGGATCGGAGCGCCACGGCTGTAGCGCAGGGATGGCGATTTTTAGTGTGTACGTGGTGAACAAGGCCGGCGGCCTGATTTACCAGTGGGACAGCTACTCGCCACGGGCTGAGGCCGAGAAAACTTTCAGTTACCCGCTGGACCTGCTGCTGAAACTGCACGACGAGCGAGTGCTGGTCGCTTTCGGCCAGCGCGACGGCATCCGGGGTGGGCCGGGCTCGAGGGCGGGGCCGGCTCTGCGGAAGTGGGCTGGGGAAGGGTGCAGGATTGGGAGTCGGAGAAAAAGGGGGCGTGGACCGGAGCCTCTCTGATGCTTGGGCTCTCTTCTGTAGTGGGTCACGCAGTCCTGGCCATCAATGGCATCGATGTGAATGGCAAATACACGGCCGACGGGAAGGAAGTGCTGGAGTATCTGGGTAACTCTGCGAATTACCCGGTGTCCATTCGATTCGGCCGGCCCCGCCTCACCTCTAACGAGAAGCTCATGCTGGCTTCCATGTTCCACTCGTAAGTCCTTTCCCCGCCCCCTTTAAACTTTTGCTCCCCTGAACCTACCTCTAGGATGGCTAAAGTGTTTTCTGTGTACTGACAATTTGTACATCTTAACTGGCTGAGTCATGAAGAAATAGCTTATAGAATATATCCAGGTTTGAGGTAGTTTAATCTTGTCTAACTCAGCTTCTCTCTTCCTCTTAGCCCTAGTTTCTTTAACATAAGGTAATTGAATTATTTCTTTATTTTTGTTGACTTTTCGAGAGAAGGTTTCTCTGTGTAGCCCTGGCTGCCCTGGAACTTGCTCTATAGACCAGGCTGGCCTCCAGCTTACAGAGATCCAGTCGTTTCTGCCTCTGACGTGTGGGAAATAAAGGCACGGGCCGCCACTGCCGGGCCAGGTAACTGACTTAAATAGACATTGAAAGTCTTCCTGTGACTCCATGTGGCGTGAGGCCTGTTGACATAGGCATAGCCGTGAACTAAGAGGCTATGCATGTGTTCCCTAGCATGTTGACTTTAGCTATAGCATTTTTGGTGTAAAATGTTCCAGATTTTGCATGGAGAGACAGCTCAGTGCTTGTTGGTCTTGCAGAGAACCGGCATCCACATGGTGGCTCACAACTGCAACCCCAGTTCCAAGGGATTCGATGCCTTCTTCTAGCCTCCATGGGCATCAGACACAGATGTGGTACAAACACAGATAGACACTCACATGACCATAGGCTCGTTTTTATCTTGTCCTTATTGCTACATAAAGGAGCCTATAGAGAAGACTTAGAGATAAGTGACTTCACTGTCACCAGGTGACTGAGTGACCAGGCTTAAGACTATAAATAAAGATTAGATACATCTTAGGGGACAGTGTTTCATAATAAAATGTATAGTGTGCAATGTATAAGGAAACAAATAAATGTAAACGAAACTTTGACACTCTTGCTAGGTAGTTCATAGATTTTTCTCCTGACTGTCCGAGGCTGTGAGGTGAACTCCTCAGAAAATTGGGTACTTGATTGGAAAAGTTTAAGGAACACTTTTCCTTTACATCACCTGGTACATTTTTAACTTTACCTCCCTTGCATACAGGCTCTTTGCTATTGGTTCCCAGCTGTCTCCGGAACAGGGAAGTTCAGGCATTGAGATGCTGGAAACAGACACATTCAAACTGCACTGCTTCCAAACACTGACAGGTATGTCCCTTCAGAGAGGTCAAGGGGATAGATAGGGTAGATGGGACCAAGGGATTGACCAGAGAAAGCTGGTAAACAAGGACAGGAACGGTGTCAGGTTTTCCAGGGACATTTGTACAAACATATCCATTCTCCAAAGCCAATATTTAATCAGAGGCTGATTTTGTTTACGTCACCCAGTGTGCTCTACCTTGGTTATCCTGGGTTTGGATAAAATCCACATTAATGTTAGGTTTCACACATTTTGGAATGTGTGTTGTTCTAAATAAAATTTGAAAGCCAACTAGACATGGCCTTTGGATCCTGCTTGTCATTGCTTAACTCCTTGTTATAGATAACTGAACTGCCAGTTTTCTCTTCTGCTTGTCCTGTTTCTGCTGAGGGATTCCAAGACTAAAAGTAGCAGCTAGACCCCAAGTCTGGTCACTCAGTCACCTGGTGACGGTGAAGTCACTTTATCTCTAGCCTCCTGTTAGCTGCTTGATGTGGCAATAGAGTCAAAGTGAAAATGGGCTTATGGTAGTACTTTACAAAATTGAAAGGGCTGCAAAAATACAGGATGATAATTGCTGCATTCTCTGTTCTTGGTAACTGTTCCTGGCCTTTTTCCAGGGATCAAGTTTGTGGTCCTGGCAGATCCAAGGCAAGCTGGAATAGATTCTCTTTTGCGAAAAATTTATGAGATTTACTCAGATTTTGCCCTCAAGAATCCATTCTACTCCTTGGAAATGCCTATCAGGTAGGTAGCCTATTCCCCAGATACTGTCAAAGCTGTCTCTCAAGTGACTTAAAGTGTGATCAATGTTGCGTTTAGGTAAGGACAACAGTCACCAGCTCTATTTATCTTGAGAACACAGGGTTTCCTTGTGCTTCATGTTCTTCGAATAGTTTCTACTAATTCTCCCTCTATCCTTTGTGGTGGGAGTCTCATCTCACATTTTTTTGTCTTCTGGGTCTTGCCTAGATGTGAGCTGTTTGACCAAAACCTGAAGCTAGCTCTAGAGGTGGCAGAGAAGGCTGGCACTTTTGGAACCGGGTCATAGGCCGAACCAGGAATGAACCCTCTAAAGTCTGAGACGTGCTGCAGAAGGGCTTTGCTGTTTCTACTACAGTAAGGACCCTATTGCAGTAGCCCTGTTCATATACTTGAAAATGGGAGAACACTGAGCCTGGTGATGGACGGATCCTGGACTAGAATGCCATGTTCTCTGCCCTTCTGTATATATCTCAGCCCTATGCCCTACTCTGTACAGGTTTATTTATGGAGGAAGCTGGCTTAGCAATGCCGTAATAAACATTCCTTTGAGCCGGGCGTTGGTGGCGCACACCTTTAATCCCAGCACTCGGGAGGCAGAGGCAGGCGGATCTCTGTGAGTTCGAGGCCAGCCTGGTCTACAGAGCGAGTTCCAGGACAGCCTCCAAAGCCACAGAGAAACCCTGTCTCGGAAAAACAAAAACAAAATAATAATAATAATAATAATAAACACTCCTTTGTTCAAGTGTAGAAAACAAGAAATTGATGCTTGACTCTTGAACCCTAGGTGCAGTCCCAAAACTGCTGATTTCCTGGGAGCCTGAGGTGTGGTGGTGGATGATGGAGCACTTATTAGCACTTAGAAACAAGCTAAGTTTTATCTCAATATGCACTCTAACCCTAGGATGTACATCCTAATACAGACAGAATTCAGCAGATTACAAAATATCAATATCTGTGCTTCAGAGTCCTCAAGCCAGTTACTGATGGCCTGAATTTGGATCCATGCTTTTTTATTGAGTTATTTAACCTGCCTGCAACCCAAAAGTATACAGTGTTCAGTTGAATGTTGAGCTGTACTTAAAAGTCTCCATTTATACTTCTGTCTCACTCCAAAGAAAATCTTTGCTTTTGATAAGAATACTTTCCCAAAGAAAGCTGTTTCTAGCTTGTGTCTCCCTTGAAAGGATGAGCCACTGGCTGTTTATTATCAAATCTAGTTTTATTAACCTATAACAAGTTGGCTTGCCCGCTGTATTCCCCCTTTTGTCCCACGGTATTAATGAGAATAGTGGCTTCCTCTCTTCCCTTGGGGACTGAGGTATTGGCAATAACTTTGCCCCCTGCTAAGAAGCCTTGGGTTACAACAGAAACCACAGGCATTAATATTCTGCAGCTGCAGAGACAGGTTCACCTCACTATGAGATGGGGACAGGATAGGACCTAGGAAAGGAAGAAGGGTATAGGAGACACCCTGAATGCAGGAGTTGTCTCTCTGCTAGAAGGTAGAAACAGAAGCTGATGGAGTCTAAAAACAAATATTTAAATAGAGCATAGGATGGGGAGTTGGGATCTCATTAGCCACTGATAACTTGCAGCACCATAGAGGTCCAAGGAGACGGTGTAGACACGAATGACGAAGGGTCTATGCTAACCAGAGCAGCTTTTCCCTTTCTAAGCCCTGCCAGAAAGGCTGAGGTTGGGGATGCTCCATAGTGAGTACTCTCTTCACTCTGCCTTCTTGGGTACTCGGCCCATCTTGGTGCGGATATTTCGAAGCAAAAAGAAGACAACTGTGCTGGCTATACAAATAACTTCTGCCACCCAAAAGGCTGTGCTCCAGCTATAGTGTTTGGCGATGGTGCTGAAGGGTAACCCAGCCAGAAATCCGCCCACTGTCGGGGAGAGAGAAAAACCTGAGTCACATGTGAGGCTAAAGCAGGTAGGCAGTTCTGCCTCTAGCAGGCCTGAGCAAGGCAACACCAGGAGACAGCTGTTCCAGACAGTACTACTTACCATTTGCCATGAGTCCCACAATAGCATGAGAGGTGCCACACAAGTTGGGAGGTGCACTCTCATTGGCTATAACTCCAAACAAGGCAATGGGACCATAAGAAGAGAAACCAAACACAGCTCCCAACACTAGGATCCAGATCTGCAAGGGCAGGGAGAGAATTAGTGACCACAGCTGCCTCAGGAGAAAAGAGTGCGAGCCTTTAGTTAAGCCACAGTCAGTAGCCATCCTCACCCCACACCCACACAGCTATGATACAGATGACAGTGAGCCAGCCCCAAGGGCTCAGGTGCAC